ATTAATCCAAGTCGCCACACCTTATTAGCACAATCACTCCAAATTCATAGTGCTTAGTTCAATGATGGTAATATATAAAAGAAAGATTGCATATAACGACATAGTACAGGAAAAAAGATATAAAGCAATTTTAATCTCACGGTTTAAGGGAAGACAAAAATGTATACACCTACGCCATTCTGATCAATTCTCAACCATGTTACACACAGTCTTCAATCATTGATTACAAGTCACGTGGAACCCAACCAAGTAGTCTGAATCTATCAACATGGTTAAAACTAGAAATAAGTGACTTCAAGCACTGATACAACGTTTTGGTCTGGCCGCACCTAACTTTCTTCCAACCATCGTCAACATTAGTCAGAATTGCGCGTCATGGTAATCGATGTTCACGTATACGTAACACGTGACCCAACTATGTTATTCGATGAAAATTCATAACCTCATCAACTGATTTACCATAATTCTTTATTATATTGAGTCCAACCTCACTAATACTTACTGCGTGATCCCAGCAGATGTGAGCAATATTTCTAAGGCATCTTTGATCAAATACTAGTAACTTACAAGTATCTTTTACTCTTAATGACCACGTTTTGCATCAATTTCTGAAAACTCTTTCGATGAGAAAGTTATTTCCAGAGGTAGGTTTATGATGAAATTAAACAGAAATGGAGATAGTGGATAGCTTTGTCGGACACCATTTGAGGTTGCAAAATCAGATGACAGTTCATCATAAGCTGTAACTCAACTAATAGTGTTCGAGTAAACAGCCTCCATAAGGTCTACATATTTCACAGGTACACATTTCAATGACAGACATTCCCACAGAACCTCTCGGTCTACAGAGTTAAATACTTCTTTCAAGTCAAGAAAAACCATCATTGTCGATCACTTTTAAGTATGTCTTCGTTTTAAAACTTGACGAATGATGAATATATGGTCGATGCAGCCACGATCTGGTCTGAAGGTAGCCTGATTTTCTCGTGTTTACAATTCACAGGTCTTAGTTAAGTGTCCGATAATTATTGAGGCTAGTATTTTAGATGCTATATTAGTCAAACTAATGTTCTACAATATATGAAGATATTTATCAAAACTATTCATTAAACTGATTCTTATATAATTGATAGGTAATTCCTATCATATAATTATCTACAAAGAGGAATTCTGTCTGTAATGATTAAGAATCAGATCTAATCAAGTTGAACCATAATCTAAAGAAAAGTGTAATGATATGCTTTAAACAATACCAAGTGACATTTATAACATGTCGATTAGGGAATCGAATGATTCAAGGTTTCAATCCAACAAAAGGCTAAACGAGAATTATCAGGAGAGGTTTTGTGGAGATTGTAGTAATTTCAATGGTTAAGATCATGAGTCAGTTGAAGCTAGACCACTATGGGAAACCTGGAACCACTAGACTGCCGTTTAGTTCTATTATCGGACTCTTCAGTAGTGCGCATACGATGATTATTATCAGAATAGTTGACGGCTCAGTGGTCTAGAGGTTAAGTGTTCATGCACGAGACTGATAGATCTAATCTCGCTACACAGGATCGTGGATGCACACTGCTGAAGAGTCCTGTAATAGGACAAAACGGCCATCCAGTGCTTCCAGGTTTTCCATGGTGGTCTAGCTTCAACTGACTCATGATCTTAACCATTGAAGCTAAAGGAGAACTTTAATAAACAAACTCAAAATATTTTTCTGAACATTCTAGACTAATGATGAAATCTTTAAATAAAAAGACGAAATTTATTTAGAATTGTGTAGTGTTATTAAAAAAATAACAATCCAAGCAATATTAAGTATAAAACCCAACAATGGAGCCAGAGATTTCATAGACATCTCTTTATATGATTGAGAAAGTTTCTAATCAAAACAATGTTCAGCTTTGTTCTATCACCATTGGTTGATAGCAGGAATGTAATAGATAGAAATAGGCCATTTAAAGTTATTTGTAGTATATCTGCTACTTTTTATTATGGGATTCAATCTCATCTCTTTGACATAGAAGAAATTATCTAGATTTGAATTCATTATTCTTTTTTTATAACTTCACCTTGAACCCCTCCAATTCTACAGTCAGTCTCAAGCCCAGATAAAAGAATGAGGGTTGATGGTGGTTGGAGGTAGTCGAAAAGAAACTCTGCACTCGAGTTTCATGCTACATGACACTCGTTAGCGAGGTGTACTTGTAATTTTAAGGGAACTGGTGCTCCCTGACAGATTCAGTCCCGTGTCACCCAGCTTCACAGTCCGAGACATTATCACTGAGCTATCCGGTCAGCGACCAACTTCTTATAGGACTGAGATGTAATCATAATTGATTAATCACCATTCAGTGATCAATCAATTGGGAAAAGGGTTGAGCATGAGGTTAGCAACTACATTTTGTAAATAACTAATTTGCTATAAAAAAAAACACACACACCAACCCATTGTTTTTCATATTCTTTATTTATCTATTTCTCTTCATCTTGTTTTCGAATAGATTCTTCATAATTGAATTAGTTCAATATAACTTATTGTATCGTTTCAACAATCTTTTAATGAAAGCTATTTCAATGTCTGTTCTTCTATGTTGTTGATCTACTTTCTATGATGAAACGTTTATTCAAGCCTTTATTATTATCATTACTGTCATAATTAGTATATCAGTCATCATATTTCATTATTATAACTTACATATAAACTACTTTGATTGATTTAATAAATGTTCTATATTCATACAAACATTATTGTATACTATAATAAAACTTGATAAAAATCTAATTTGAATCTCGTGAGGTGGGGTCGTGGATGCGCACTGCTGAAGAGTTTCACAATAGGACGAAACGGCCGTCCAGTGCTTCCAGGTATTCTGTGGTGGTCTAACTTCAATGGACTCATGATCTCAATTATTTACACAAAACCCCTTCTGATTCTAGAAACAATATAATCGGAAGGGGTGTTTGTGGAGATTTTAGTAAATTTATAATTGAATTCATCAGTTAATTGAAACTAGACCACCATGGAAAACCTAGAAGTTCTGGGCGGCCGTTTCATTCTATTGTAGAACTTCTTAACAGTGTGGAGCCACAATCCTGCCTTGCGAGATTCGAATACAGGACCTATCAGTCTCGTGCGTGGACACTTAACCTCTAGACCACTGACTCGGCAACCATTCCGATAACAATCATCGTATGCTCACTAGTGAATGGCTTCAAGAGGTATTTCCGGGAGTTCTAGTAAGACACACTGACCATTGAAGTTAAACCTGGCCTGTTGTGAGATAGTAACTCACTGAAGACAATGGTGGATGTGTCACACAATTTCGTAGATTAGTTGAATTTAGACAATAACACCGTCGGATGCGGAGTGGCCCAGTGGTCTAGAGGTTAAGCGTTCACATGAAAGACTGTTGGGTCCTGGATTCGGATGCCTAAGACAGAATAAATACTCAAATATTTAGGCTTAGTAATAAATTTCAATCGAGAAAATACCACTTGTCGAAATATTGAATATTCCATAGTCTACCGCATAATTGTAAATGGTATGGTTCGTACAAAAAACATGGAAAAGCTGGAATTGGTAAGAACAGATTTGACGCTGAGATAAATTGGTTATTTACTCCGCTTTGATCATTGTTCACCACCTGTTATTAAATCCTAACGGAAAGTTGACTGGAAGAAGTTAAACTTAGGAATAAATCAAATAAATATCATTACGGTGAGTGAAGATTCTGTACGATAATATTTTATACAAATGAACTGAGACCAACGTTAAAATCCATAATGCTCTATTCATTCTATTTAAGACTAACCAGTTTGATATACTTGGATCTGTGTTGATGCTCAAACCTCAATCCGAAACCAGTACCTTTCACTCCAAATGACTAGAACATTTCTCATTGAGACACTGAATCCAGGGGGGAGGGCATTATGTTTAGATTGATATTAAGAAAGGTTTAAGTTACTTCATTGTTGATATTAGAGAGAAAATTCGAATCACTCTTTTCGGGGACATTTATAACCTCTGGGAATCAATATGATATGAACATTATTTAGAATAGATGGATTGTGGGCTAGTTATATATGTATATATTCACAACGATTGTCTAGTTAAGCAATTTATACTGATTGTTATGATCTAGGATACTACTTATTATCAGCTACAGAACCGCTGAAAATCAATGAGGAGGGTCATCATTAATGAATTGTTCCTTTCTGTTATGAAACTGTTAGTAAGTGCACACACCCACACTCACATTTGGTCAGTGATTAGTCTTAGTACCTTTACATGTTATAACCATATCATTCACTACATTTGGATTATTGAATTAGAATTCAATTAGTTCATATGCTAAACTTTAACTAATCCATAATAGAGTGCAACATTTTTCTTTTTAAAACTATCAATACATAACTCTATTTTATTCTATGACATGGTTGAACTCTACCATTTACAACTTCTCAACGGAGGTGGTAACCACATATTCGTTTGAACTGAAATAAGAAAACTAATAATAATAATAATATTGTCTTTTATTTTATCATGAATCAATGGAAGTTAGACCATCATGGAAAACCTGAAAGCACTAGATGGCCGATCCCACCTATTGTGAGATATTAACTCACTGGTGACAATGGTGTAAGGTGGCTTAATCTTGTAGATTAGTTGAAGTTGGACATTAACATCTTTAGATACCAGCAAACTTAGTGGTTTAAAGGTTAGACGTTCTCATGCGAGATCGATAGGTCCTGGAGTTCGAATCTCGCTGAGGGTAAGATTGTAGATGCACATTACCACAGAGGAATCCTACAATAGAACGAAATGGTTGTCTAGTACTTCCAGATTTTTCATGGTGATCTAACTTGAATCGACTCATGATCTGAACTATTAAAATTATAAACTTATAATATATTAAATATACCAAGTTAATGTTTATTGACACTTACTTGACTTGATTCATTCACTGGAATATTTTTTATAATTATGTAATCATTATTTATTAAATTAAACATGAATCTGATTCATCATCTAAAGAAGAAAGAAAAACAGTTATGAAAAAGAAACTTGTTCAATGAAACAAATCATCACGAAGAGAAAAAGAAAAGAAAGAAAAGAAAAAGAAAAGAGAAAAAATGATTAACCTTTCATATATATATATATATATATATCTTTACTAATCAATATGTTTCCAGTTCAAGACGTTTTATCGTTGTTGTTTACATCAAGAATATTGTAATCAGGAAAGATTGAATCACTAGCTTGTTCTAGTAAAAAAATATGTGTTATATCTCAAAGGTCACCGATTAGACGGCAGTGAGTTGTCGATCGGATCAAGAACGCGTAAAACACATACAAGCGACCTAGAGTTCTGATTGGCCATGCTTTCCGCCTTGTCAAGCCAGTTAAGTTCAGGACGCTGATCTCAGCCTCTGTGATATGAATCATTATATTTCAAACATACTGAGTTTATATTACCAATCAAACAGACCACAACGTAGCATAAAATAGAAAATTTGGCCAATTGTGACTGTGAATGTGGAAAGCAGTGACTAATAGACAGGGCATAACTTAAGAGTGGTCAATTGTACGATAATGGTTCATAAGTCAAAATAAAGCTCATAATAAGAGGAAGAGGAATATGAATAGTTTAGTTATTTAACAATTATACGATAAAAATATACGTTTAGTATTAGTCCATAAATGGATCCAAAAATTACCATTCATTATTCTTGTCGGGACATAGCACTATGTACGTGCATGGATTCATAACTTCCATTATAGATGAAATTCAGTAGTACTAGGAATGACTTTAAGTGTTTACTCTTAAGACTACTAAGTTATCATTTATTGGTACTTTAATCGATTTGTAACTAACTGACTCAAGTTGAACGTAATTGAACAATACTGGTTTTCAATAATTGTTTAACTATGATCAAGGAATGATATTCTAGTGAACAGAACATCAGTGGGGAATAATCGAATGTATTTGACAACAAATTATAGAACTTGTTAATAAAATCTAACAACGATATATTAAACGCTCAATTTGCAACATGTCCATTAATTGTCTCAAAATGACTTAGACTTCATTGTTCTTGCATTTTCATATGTTCGATTGTCCCCATCCGTGTTCTGTTCACTACATTTGGTGTCGCTGCCAACCAGAAGAGAAGAAGAGTGTTGTTCTGCGGACGCCGTTGCGGGCCTGGAGCTGAGGTGCAGGTTGGAGCAGTCTGGTGCTGATAGGTTGCGTCTACTGGAGTGTTCTGGCGGGGCGGCGTTGGCTGTAGCGGGTGCTGTCGACGAAGAGAAGCGGTGGGACGTGCGGCTGCTGGGTGGACATCAGATGTAGATGGCTCAACAGGACAGTGGAGCACGGGTATTAGACGTCCCAGGTGCCGGGTGGATGTCGGATGTTGGTGCCTTGGCAGGTCGACGGAGCTATGGAGGTCAGCGCGCCGCAGACTCGACATTTTGACGGATGGCGTAGTACAGACTACAGAAAAGAAGAATGTTTCACGGCGAGCATGAACCACTGCAAGAACTACTTCTTTGAAGGGGGTACGAGTGTGGTGTGTGCTACTTATGTAGACATAAGTAGTATATGATAGTCGTGAACACAATGTCTGGCAGCAGAGAGCCAAGAGGATCAAAAAGCAAAGAATGAAGACAAAATGCAATTTGTATGAAAACGCAAGAATAAAGGAAGTCTGAGTCATTTGAGACAACTGATGGACATTTTGTAAATTAAGCAGTAGGTTTCAATATACATAAGGGTAAAAGCAAGATTCTCCGATACAACACAACATGCACCAACCCAATCACACTTGACTGAGAAGATTTGCAAGATGTAAAACCTTTACATATTTGGACAGCACCATTGATGAACACGGTGGATCTGATGCAGATGTGGAGGCACAGATCGGTAAAGCAAGAGCAGCATACCCACAAGTGAAGAACATCTGGAACCCAAAACAAAAGTCTATCCGCTAACACCAAATTCAGAATTTTCAATACAAATGTCAAAGCAGTTCCACTGTATGGGGCGGAAACCTGCAGAACTACGAAAGCCATCATCCAGAAGATACAAGTGTTTATTAACAACTGTCTACGCAGGAAACTTCGGATCCGTTGGTCGGACACTATTAGCAACAACCTACTATGGGAGAGAACAAACCATATTCCAGTGGAGGAAGAAATCAGGAAGAATCGCTAGAAGTGGATAGAACACACATTGAGGAAAGCACCGAAATGCATCACAAGGCAAGCCCTCACTTGAAATCCTCAAGACCAAAAGAGGAGAGTAGTTTCCTTGATCCACGAGACAGTGTTAAATATTTAATTGGGATCTTTGATTCCTTGATAGATATTCAGTCAATCAATCAATTTCTGTGAGATTTGGCGATTAGTTGAATGAGAAGGTTTTAAGGTTTGGCAACTTTTATATTCTCAATATCTCCTTAATATCTATCGATTTAAGTAAAGATTTGATCGACGTGTTGTAAATATTAACCACTGGATACTGAATCATTAAATGTAAGGTTAGACATGGGTGTTTTGGTCTCGATCCCTGAATGGCAGTAAAATCTTGGATACATATTGATGACGACTATTAAATAAGAATAACTCAGCTATTCTACACTTTCTAGCTGCTTATAAGCAACGAGAATCAAAGTTTACATTCTTAAGTTTTGATACTTACCATCGATTTCATGACCATTTATTTTTAAGTTATTATTGATTGGAGCATTTTGTTCAGTAGAGGCTTCGATATCATTACAAGACTGAAATATATAAACATTTAAAGAAAGAAAAATGAATATGATTAGATAAATAACACGACATAGAAACGTGTAATAAAAACTATCGAATTGTATTCATCTTGTTCTAATGTAATTACTGGCATAATATTTGCTGAATCTCCGCCTGGAGCCCCTCTGAGGCTACTTCCAGTCCCAAGCCCAGATAAAGGAGGAGGGTTGAGCATGAGATTAGCGACCTCATCTCGTAGAAAACTAACTCGCTTGAAAAACACTAACCAGAAAAAATAATTCAAACCATTTATACTCCGCTCTTGGAGTTAGGAGATCATCATTTAGAAGAGTTATGACATCTCATGATGAAAGCCGTGGCTAATGCTCCTTCTGACAACCAGAGTAACAATTAATTTAGCTACACGGAATGCTCGTACAATGTAAGAGACCGAGAGAGTCTTCCAAATTGCTGTTGCCAAAAGTTCTGTCGAAAAGTTGTAAAATTCAATCATGTTAAGAATAGAATAGTCATTCATATTATATCACTAATGATATATAAGTTAGAAACATTAACAATTAAGTTACATTTTAATAGTTGAGATCATGAGCTAATTAAAGCTAGAACACTATGTAAAACCTGGAGACGTTGGACGGCCGTTTCGTCCTACTGTGAGATTCCTCATCAGTGTGTGTCCATGATCCCAGCCTTGAGAGATTCAGTGGTCTTCATCTAATATGATCAATGGTACAATTGGATCTCATGAATTTGGTATTTGTCTAGATTGTTAGTGTACTTTATAATTGAATTATCTTCTGAGATAAAATAGATATGTCAATACCTGTTTAGTTTATATTAACATTAATATATTTACAAAGCAAGAAAAATGAATTATTCACTGAAGTGAGTAGTAAATCATTTAAATGACAAAAATTACAAGGAAATGGTCTTAGAAAGGTTCTTAAATCTCATTGAATGCATAAACCATTTCAATTATCTTAGAAGTTTCATCCGTCTGGCCAGATTGACGTTTGAAAACAATCTTGGTACATGTCTGAATAACTCTTTTGGTTTTTTTTTCCAGTTTATTTCACGTGTAATGTAGACTAGATTTTCATTAACCAATTACAAGGCGGGTATCAGTCAGTCAGCTACAACGGTATCGAAGAGAGAGGTTGATTATGATCTTGAATGCTGCTAGAGATATGAAGGCGGTTATCACTTCTTGGTTGCTCACACCGTAGAAGGGTTCTTCTGGAGGTACTTGAAAAGGAAATTGGATTAGAGTTGGTCTTAGTGACCTGAAAGCGTGAACGTAGTTCCAAAGAGACAACTGTTTGAGGCCGGTCACACACGATCATTTTGTAGGAAATTTTCGTGTTGGCTACGTACTTGTTGAGATTTTATCACCGCAGGCGGAAATCCGTTGAATAAAGGGAGGTGTGTATTTCAAAGTGTCTATCTTTTATAACACCACTCTTTTTTTGTGGGAATGCAGCATCGCTATCATACTGGCTTTCAGAGGGGAATACTTTAATGCCATCACACTTCTATACAGTCAGTGGTACGAATTGGCCTTCAGACCTTGGGTTTGCTGCTTTTAGTCTTACTGCTCTTTAACTGACCTGTATGGCATAGTTGAACCTTGACGAACTATTGTTCTAGCCAATATAGCTCGATTGGTTCATCACTATTGATAAGCCTGACCACCACGTCAAGGTAGCAACAACGGTCAGGAAAAGACGAATACATTGTACAACAATATGTCTTATTCTACTTTATGACTGAGAGACATGGACTTTAGAAATAGAAGATATTATTAGGTGATTGATATTCAATCATAAATGATTTCGAAGCATACATTCGTAGTGTATACTAGGATAATCAAGTGCATTGTGTTAGGATAAGACGCACAGTACAAAATAAAGGTGGCAAATAAATTGATAATGTTAAGGAATCTTCATCGGTTAAAGTGGTTAGGACATTCATTATATGTACACAACCACTGCATACTTTAATGTGCTCTGTTAATGATGTAGAAGTAGTTTGAACTAAAGCTACGAGCGACCAAGTCAAGAGATGAGATAAGTTCATGAAGTCATCAAGTACTGAAGTGAGCTATTTTAGTACATAAAGACTACCTAGGTACTTTATTATCATAACCAATGATTGGATAACATGAGTGACAGGTATCAGAATATATTGCAATGGTGCAGATCAATCCACTGTCTATCTTCCCTTATATCTTCAGTTTTAACATTATCATATAAATTTCTTAGTTTACGAACTCATTACCTCCCGAATAGAAGTGGATATGAAAAGGATGAATAACAATTGGAAAGAGCTGGAAAGGATTTCCTAGTAGAGGGTTGGATGGAGAATACTGGTGAGCGGCTTATGCTCCTTCATGAGGAGTAACAGGCGTAAGTAAGTGATGTTTCTCGTTATTACTAATACTCCTTATACTTCTACTGATCTTCTTAATTTCATCGCATTATGCTGATATAGTATGACAACTCATACTGATTTACATATGAATCAGTTTCTACATTACTTACGATGGACTAACTGAGATGTCATCCAAGTAATAAATTCAATAACACACCAATCACATATTAATTACCATCTTGTCAACAACTATGTGAATATCAGCAAACTGGAAATATATCATTTATCAGTTATGATATTTTTATGCCCTGATTAGATTCACTTTGTATGGCATATCCAGTAGGTGATACTGTGGTGTGTGCTACTTATGTAGACATAAGTAGTATATGATGTTAGTCGTGAACAGAATGTCTGGCAGCAGAGATAGACGAGAAGATTGAACAATAAAGAATGAAGACAGAATGCAATTTGTATGAAAATGCAAGAACAAAGGAAGTCTGAGTCATTTGAAACTGTAGCGGTAAATAAATCCCCAAACTAAATAGCTCTGTAAGTTTTCGACATTGGATGCTGACCACAGTTTTAGTGGACTCATTTAGCTGAAGGCGTTCGGTCAAGCATACGCACCAGATCACGTGTGGGAACGCCGTGCTCAACATCTGCCGCAATCGCTAGACAGATTAGTTCAAACGATCCTCCATATATTGATAGCTTGTCAAATATATCTTCGATCTCCTCGCTTCTGTCTTTTGATTTCATTTGGTGGGTACGCTTCATATTAGAAGGTGTTACTGGTTAAAGCGTTGTCAAACTCCGAATACCTGTGAAATCTTCAAGACAATTGATGGACATTTTTCAAATTGAGCATTTACTAGATGATTGTTAGATTTTATTAACAAATTCTGTAATTTGTTGTCAAATACATTCGAACACAACTCTAGCGCTTAATATATATCAAATATGGGAAGTATACAGCTTAACAGTTCTTTCTGAATCATTAATTTCCGAAGTTATTGGATGTTATATCCCAATGAGAACAATAAATGGTAACTTTTGGGATCCATTGATGGATCAATACTATGCGTACATTTTTATTGTATCATTGTTATGTAACTGAACTATTCATATTCATGTCCCCTTTATTGTAAACTTTATTTTGATCTATAGACTATTATTATATAACTTGCCATTCTTGAGTTATGCCCAGTCTATTAATCACTATCTCCAACATTTACAGGCACTTCCGGCTAGAACTTTTACAAATGTTGTTTCCTGTTCTACGGTACGATTTGGTCTGTTTGGTTCGTATATAAAGCCAATATGTTTGAAATAAATGATTCATATTGCAGAGGTTGAGTTTGGTATTCTAGACTTAACAGGCAAGGCTAGGCAAGAAATAGGATCGGTAAAGAATCCACACTATTCGTATAGGTTTTATGCATGATTGGTCTGGTCGATAAATCACTGTTCTCTAATTGGCGGTATCATTACGTTATACATTAATAGGACATAGGGCACAAGTTATAACATTAGACATGTATCAGTTGTATGTATTTGATCATAGATGCTGTTGAAAAGTTTTGTCGAAGTCATTCTAACAAAAGAGTTACCTTTAAGATCATGGTGAAAATCAATCGAACTGTGAAATATGAACAGCTATAAAGAATATAATTTGATAGAACCTAATTTCGATGAAAATTTCATAGAAAGGAAGGTAAAAAGTGATTTTACTCTTAAGGTTTAAGGAAATACAGAAAGTATCTACACCGACGCCATTGTGACCAATTCTGAGCCATGTCACACCCAGTCTCCAACCATTGGTTACGATAGTCACGCAGACCCCAACCAAATAGTCTGCATCTACTAACATGACTCAGATTGGAAGTTAGTGATTTCAAACACTGATGTCACGTTTTTGTTTGATCGCCCCTAACTTTCTTCCAGCTGTCTCCAACACTAGTCAACATTTGCTTTTAGTTCATCTAACGTGTCTTGAATAGTCTACTAGATGAATTTTTAGATTGGAATTGATGTAGTTAATTGTTTTGAAATGTTCATATGAGGCCGTGTTCGATCTATATAGGGCTGAATATGTTAAACAAATATTCCCTTCAATACACATTGGTTATTACTAGAGTTTAAAAGTTTCTGTTACTGATTTACAATAAATATCCTTTAGTGCAATCCAGTGTATACATAAATGTAGGAGTGTTATTACAAGCGATCATTGGCTTCTGTTCTGAGATATATGTGATATATATTCACTTGGTATTGTCTACTTGAATCTTCCCCTTGATCAGTCTCTTATTGGGGTATATACATACTGTTCGTATTGCCTCGATATTGCCTTAATTCACATGTATTATAAACAAAGATAAATAGTGGCTAGCAGTGGAATGCAGGCACATCCAACTGACGAGTCCAAAACAGGACGAAACGCGTGTCCTGTATCCCACTACTAGCCAATATTCATTTTATCTAATATCTGAAGTAGTTTTTAAACTAAAGAATTGTGAGATTTTTATTTCTCAGTACTGGAGGTTGCAATAAATTGAAAGATATAGAAATCTAGACCAACTATTCTTCATTTTACGACGACATTCCCATTCTTTTTAGATTTAATTTCTTCATTGAAAAATAGTGTACGGTGTTGAATTTACTAAGATAATAGGTGTAAACGATACCGAATTCAGTGTTTCAAAGTAGGAACCATCACTGGTTTGACATTCAGGGTGAATCTAAAAATAGGCCTAAATAGGACGAAACGTCCGTCTAGTGCTTCCAGGCTTTTCATGGTGGTCTAGCTTCAATTAACTTATGATCTCAACTATTGAAATTACTAAAATCTCTACAAAACCCCTTCTGATACTAATCAACATATACTCACTAGTGACTGGCTGCAAGATGTATATCCTGGAGTTCTAGTGAGCAGTGAAGTTTAACCGGGTCAGTTGTGAGATAGTAACTCACTGATGATAATGGTGGATGTGTCGCTCAAGTTCGTGGATTAGTTGAAATTAGACATTAACTATTTTTGGATTCCGGTAGGCTCAGTGGTCTAGTGGTTAAGTGCTCGCGCGCGAAACCAGTAGGTCTTGGGTTCGGATCTCGCAGCGGGCGAGGTCGTGAATGTGCACTGCTGAGTAGTCGCACAATAGGGCGAAACAGCCGTCCTGTGCTCCCAAGTTTCCCATGGTGGTCTAGTTTCAATTGAATCATGATCACAACCATTGAAATTGGAATTTTGTTAGGAAACTGTAACTTAAACTGTTAATTGAACAGTTACTAATTGTGAATATGTACAAAACTCTAGAATCATAGTTATTCATCAATATGAATCAATAAATGAAGACCGATCTGGTTACGATCAAGTTTAAACATTAATTCATAGCTTTAAGAGGTTCATCAAATGACTTTTAATTATTCTGTAATCTATAATTTATTTTCATGTTACAAAATTGAAGATATTATACAAGGAATCCTTTTAAACGTAAGTTTTGAGCTATTTGGAATTTGTTGACAAGTCATCCTTGAAATACTAAAGGAATTGTCGCTTCCTGTCAACTCTGAACTTAATTCACTCAGTTCTACAATTTGAAAACTTATCAATATACTATTAAAGATGTAAGTAATCATCTTTACGGTATAGATACTTGTATTGTTGAGTTAGTCAGATTAGTCATTTCATTGTAACTTGATCGATAAATTTCTATCACCATTAATGACTTGAAAGAATGTAACTTTAATTTATATCATTCAATGAACAATCAATATAAATACGTAATTATTGTCAGTCTGTTAGTCAGTTACAAAGTAGGACCAGTCACATATATGCATCGGTTCAAGTTACCATACCGCATTAGAACAACAAGATGAACACTGGCTTAATTATTGTATTTATTTATATATTTCTTATTTCAACATATAGACATTGGTACAAGAAGGCACCAAATATATATGCGCCACACATATCTCATTTGATATGTGTGAGGGATGTGATACTACCCAGATGCCCAAACCAAAGCAGCTGGTTTTCTTAGGAGGCCACACACTGAGCCTTCGACCTGAAGATCTGATCCACAAGGCAGTGGAGCATAGTAAGGAGATGCACTCCCATGGTAGCCGGTGACCAATGACTGGTTCATACGCCATTTGTTCCTTCAGGATACTGGAGCCAGCCCATGTGCACCATTAGTTTGGGATCCGGTCAAAGCGCCAGATATTCGGTTTTCGTCCTCTTATTTTCGTAAACAACACCCGTGGTGCGAGAATTCAGTGAGTAAGACTTCCCTGGCAGAGGCTATATACGCGTGGTCATGTGAGAGCATTTAGAGAGGGAGAGCGGACACTCTCCACTCTCAGCCGTACCAGGGCAAATATCGATTTAATTATGATGGAGTTTTATTCTTTGAATTGTATAGATTGGTCATAAAGCTTTCATAGTTCTTCGGAACTACATCATCAGCATATTGAATTTTGATTAAAGTAAACTATCATTCCGAATTTCAGTTAGCTATTCAGATTAACTTTTCTGATATAATTTGATAGATGTAGTTTTTTTGTTCTTTAAAACGAGATTTATCTTGACATTTTCATTAAAAATTACAATTATTAGTTACTATGGTGATAAAATAATAAAATTTGGCAAGACTATAATTTACGGACGAACCAATCAAAAACGTTTGACGGGTTTCAAGGTCATAGTGCCAATTTCAGTACTTGATGCTCATGTACAATCGGTTCACAGTGGATCTTAGAGAAAAAGTGATCATTGAGCGGTTACAATAAATGAGGCTACTAAAAAGTTCCTTTATTTATGATTGTGGTAATTGAATGACATGGGGATCATGTTCAGACTACCATGATGATGTTGTCTTTTGGACGTATTATGTGTTGGAGGAAGAAGTCTACTAGAATAGAGATATATGGCAAGCTTACACCACCAAAGTGCATACAAACAATATTGAAGCTATGTCATCGAGATTGAAAGAGTTTTTACCACCTTATTATGGTTTCAGACGCTGACTATTATAGATCTATATGGATGAATTCCACTACCGTATGCATTAGGATTTTAGGACCTTTGAACCACTTCCTAACCTTGACAAGTTTTTGAACGATGTAAAAGGAGTGTATCCAATTTAACTCTTTAGTTTTTCATAATAGATTTTTACTCTATATTAACTGTTTCTTTATTGACGAATATCTCTTAAGGTTAAAGGTCGTCCATAAATTATAGTCTCCTCAAAATTATTTTAAAAAAGACTACTATCATTACTACTCTTAGTATATGAGTAGTCTAACAACTTTGATATTCAATAAAAACTATCAGTTACGCGTAAAGAAGTAAAAATAGTCAATATCATACAGAATTCCGATGATGGATTAAACTACGAAATCGTGCATGAAGGACAGTTAACAAAGTCGTTCGAAGTAAAGAACGGTGTCAGATATGGTTGCTTACTCTCATCCATTCTCTTTCTCCTGGTGATCGACTGTATTATGAAGATGTCAACATCTGGGAAGAAGCACGGGATACAGTGGATAGCTAGGATCTAGTTGGATGATCTAGACTTCAAAGATGATATGACTCTTCTTTCGCACACGCAACAACAAATACAGGAAAAGGCAACCAGTGTAGCAACAGTCTCAGCAGTAGTAGGTTTCAACACATATACACAATAGGAAAAGCAAAATTCTGCAATATAACACAATATACACAGATAAAATCACACTTGACTGAGAAACTTTGGAAGATGTGAAAACTTTCACATATCTGCAGATGTGAATGAGTGAATAGGCAAAGCAACAATTGCACATCTTTAATCGAAGAAGATCTGGAACACAAAACAACAGTCTCTCAACCAACACCAAAGTCGGGATTTTCAATACAATTGTCAAAACAGTTCTACTGTATGGGGCGGGAACTTGGAGAACTACGAAAGCCATCATTCAGAAGATACAAGTGTTTATCGACAATTGTCTACATAAAATACTTTGGATCCATTGAACAGACACTATCAGCAACAACCTACTATGGGAGAGAACAAACCAGATTCCAGTGAAGAAAGAAATCAGGTGGAAGAAGAATTGCAAGTGGATAGGACACATATTGAGAATAACACCCAACTGTGTCACAATACAAGTCCTCACTTGGAATCCTCAATAACAAACATGGAGAGGAAGACGAAATAATACAATACGTCGAGAAATGGAGAGAGACATAGGAAGAAGAATGAAGAACAATGAGACCGAATCAAACGAGAAGGCTCAGTAGAAAGTGGGTTGTAGAATGTTGTTCGGCGGCCTATGCTCCTTTATTGGGAGTAATAGGCGTAACTATGTACATAAGTAAAAAAAAACTAATAAGTGCTTACATGATTAGTATAATTATTCTTATTGTTATCATTGTTCCTTTCAGTTTTCATTTGATGAAGATATGGTTCCGATTGTATTGATCTCAATTTACCATTCATATTAAAGTTTACTTTATTTGTAAATTTATTTTTTACTGGTGATGATGATGATGATGATGATGACAACATCGACGTCGACGTCGGCGTCGACGACAATAATAACGGTGTTAATAAGTGAACTGTTGATGGTTTCATGGTATTTGATTGTTTCTCATAGTCTATCATTTTATTAATATTATTATTCAATGTTTCATTATTCATAGATATAACAGAAATCTCACTAATTTCTGATATATTTAATAGATCTGATTCAGAATCCCATTTATGATTAAATGGATCATTATGATATGGTTTTAATGTATTCATCATTTTATTATCTTTATTATTATCTTGTTTATATTTTGATGATAAAGATAATGATGATGATGATGATGATGAATATAAAAGATGTTGGGTAGAGAATGATGATGATGATGATGTCGATGATGATGACGATGGTGGTGTTGGTGGTGGTGGTGGTGTTCTTGTTGTGGTTGTTAAAGGTGATAATGATTTCGTACCGAATTTATGCTTATCTTGTCCATTAGTTAATTCATTATGCAAGGTTGTTGTTGTCGTCGTTGTTGTTGTTGTTGTGGTTGTGGTTGCTGTTGATGAATCAAGTTCAGAGTTTTTCAATTCATTGGATAACAAGGAATTTGATGATTTTGATATGTTACATTCAAGTGGTTTATTATAATGACTACTATAATTGAAATGAGTAATATCAGTATATGTTTTATTGATATGTGGTGAAAATGATGATGATGATGATGATGATGATGATGGTGATGAATTTGATGGTGATGATGATGTTTTCGTTGTTGTTGACTGTGCTTGTGATTCTGTTGTTGTTGACTGTGGTTGCAATGTTGCTGTTGTTGTTGTTGTTGTTGTTCTTGATGAATTTTTCAACTGTTCAGTTTCATCTTTAATGATTAAAACAGCTGATTGAGATTTTCTTTCTAAATAATTAGTTTTACTAATATTCAATGATTGAATGGATCGACGATAGTGATTATTATTATTCCTATTACCAACGGCACTGTACGGACGAAAATGTTGTTCATATGGTAATATGGATTTGTAGTTAGTATTGATCAGTTGGTCATTATTATTACTACTACCATTATTATTAGTAGTAATAGTAGTAATAGTAGTAGTATTAGTATTAGTAGTAGTAGTAGTGATGTTATGATTATTATCCATTGTATTATTATCAATACTAAGCTGTCGAGTATTCCATGCCATATCAACACTTGTAGAACGTTGTGTATTACGTCGTCTAAGATCAGCACGTAAAAAACTAGTTCGATGCATGATTCTAGTATTGTTATTATTGTAGTTGAGATTTGTGTTCGTAATAATAATATTATTATTACTATTATTATGATTACCGTTAATAACTCCTTGATTTATTACAAAAGAAAATGGTAGAAAAGATTAAATCATATGGAATATTCATTATCATAGTGGAAAACAAACAAGCAAGGATCGATTCATTTCAATCATTGAAATCATGAGTCATTTGAAACTAGACCATCATGGAAAACCTGGAAGCATTGGATGGCCGTTTCGTCATTTAATGGATTATATTTTTTGGACAAAAATCAAAGATGTATTAATTTTGTTTAAATACATAAACGTTGTTACAAAGGTGGCATTAAATAGATATGCGCCACATAAATCATTTGATTTATGTGAGAGCTAAGTGCCCAAACAGAAGCAGGTGGTTTCCCTAGAGGACCACACCTAAACTCTCCGACCTGAAGGTCTGATCCACAAGGCAGTGGAGCAACGTAAGGAGATGCAATCCCATAGTAGTCGGTGGCCAACAATTGGTTCATACGCCGTTTGTTGTTTTTGAATTCTGGAACCTATGTGCATCACTGGTTTGGAATCACGGTTTCCCAACTCTCCTGGGTGGATCCTCCATATCCACCAACTCGGTTAGAGCTACGAACACTCACTTCGTGAACAACACCTCCACCTTTAGAAGTCAGTGAGTAGGAGTTCTGTGTAAGCGTTTGTATGCACGTGGCCATCTGAAAGCGTTTCGAGAGGGTGGGCTCACTCTCCGCACTCTCAGTCGTACCAGGGCATTTTGGGCCCCTAGTTAAAGATGAACGATGTATACATTTCGTTTCATTACACATAATAATTAAAAAAATAGCAGTATTCATTAATTGAAGCCACAAAGTCATTTATAACAGGTGTTTTATTCATATTATCATTACTTTTAAAGATTTGTGGCTGTTGGTATTCGGTATAACTTTTTAACTTCATGCACTGCTCGTCCTGATAACCATCACTAGATAACACCCAATGGTGTGTATAAATCAAAAGAAGAATACGAAGAGTTGATTAGGTTTATTATCGCACCACATACACATAGATCACCAAAACCACAGGTACATGAAGCAAGAATGATATGTAAGTGTCGAACAGCAAGCGAATGAATGAGCAAGTCGATGAACAGTATTAAAATGTAATAGCTAAGTGAATAACGCGATGGCATATGAAGCGAACAATATTAGATACGAGTCAAAGAGTGAATATCAATTCTAAGATCCAAGTAAATCCAGCTGATAAGTTTCAAAAAAGACAAAACGTTCATCCTGGATTTCACAGCTAACCACTATCCATTATTGCTTATACGTTATTATTATCACATTATTCATATATCAGTAGTATAAAATGATTTTATTATAAATATAAATGATTTAATAATCATATTATAGAAACTTACTTGATTGAATTTCTGGTAACTGTTGAAAGTTAATAATTTTTAAATGTAACATATCTCGTGTTGTTGTAATCAAATCAACAACTTGTGTATGCGTTGCATCATAAACATCTATACCATTAATCTGGAATATAAATAATATTTCAAATCAATCATAACTATTGTAGAGTTATAATAATTAGTACTATGTCAAGCCAACATAAGTTATTCTAGTTTAGTGAATATGAACATCAATGGTGACAATCGAATGTACTTAGGCATATAATTACAAAGTATTTCAATAAAATCTGAAAACCATATATAGTAAATCGTTAATTTGCAAAATATCAATCCATCATATTAAACTTGACTGTTTCTGTTGTAAACATCGATTCATTATCTCAGATTTCATTGTTCAGGCATTTTTATACCAATTAGGTTTTGTTCTCGTTCTTTCCTCATCGACCTTCTACTGAAATACATTCTATACCTGACCACCGTTATATACTATTTGTGTGGATATAAGCAAACCACACCACACTCGTCCTCCCTTTGAAGCAGTAGTTCTTGCGGTGGTTCATTCTCACCGCGCAACATTCCTCTTTTCTACAGTCTGTGCTACGCCCTCCGTCAAAATGTCGAGTCTGTGACGCGCTGACCTCCATAGCTCCGTCGACCCGCCGGGAAACCAACGTCCGACATCCACTCGGCACCTGGGACTTTTATGACCCGTGCTCCACCAGCGTGCTGAGCTGTCTACATCCGATGTCCGCCCAGAAACCGCACGTCCCTTCACTCCTCTCAGTCGACGACACCCGCCCCCGCCAGAACACTCCACCAGACGCCACCTCTCCGCACCAAACTGCCCCAACTTGCACCTCAGCTCCAGGCCCGCAACGGCATCCGCAGAACAACACCCTTCTTCTCTCCTGATTGACCGCGTCACCAAATGTAGTGAACAAGAACACTAATGGAGACAATCGAATGTATTTAAGCACATAATTACAGAGCATCTCAATAAAATCTGAGAACCATTCAGATTGATTAGTTTATTTATTCCTCTGAAACCCAAAAATGCGGTGATACGGTTCAGAGTGAGGAGAGTCAACTCTCCTTCTCCAAATGCTCTTAAACGTATACAGCCACTTCCACAGAAGTTCTACTCACTGCATTCTAAAGGTAGGGGTGTTGTTTACGAAAAGAGAATGTTAGACGCTTTAACCGGGTTGGTGGATAGAGAGGATTCAATTCAAGGAGTTGGAAAACACTGATTACAGACCAATGGGTCCTAGAATCTTGAAGAAATAAATGGCGTATGAACCAATTATTGGTCACCGATTACCATGAGACTACATCTCCTAACGTTGCTCCACTGCCACTGGGGGTGTGGCCTCCTAAATAAACCACCTACATCAGTTTGGGCACTCGGGCAGTATTAGAGCCCACGCACAAATCAAGAGACTTGTGTGCCACATATCTATTTGGCACCCTTTTGTACCAATATTTATGTGTCCAAATAAATGTATTTTGACCTTATCACTTATTTGCTTATTAACCTTGACTATATTTTATGTCATCATATGTGTTCGTATTGCTTATCTCATTCATTACATCTCTGTAGCTTATTTTTATCTGAATCACATTTGATCGGAACGGGTTGGCTTAGTCTCCTTCTCTACTGACTGTCATTTCATCTCGTTTAGCTTCCTTCACTTTGTTTTCTTGATTGTCTGTCTAGATCAATATGTTTATGAAATATATATATTGAAAAAATCCATTTATGTATTTTACTTATTGTTGAGACTATAATTTATGAACGACCTCGGGACTTGAACCCGAAATCTCCAGTCTCGCGTGCGAGAGCCTCAGCTCTAAACCTCCGAACTCCCTGGTACGGCCGAGAGTGGGGAGAGTCCCATTCGAAATGCTCTCACATGGACACACGTATATATCCTCTGCCAGGGAAGTCCTACTCACTGCCTTCTCGTGGCGGGGGTGATGTTTACGAAATTGAGAGGACGAAAAGCGAATGTCTGGCGCTTTAACCAGACCCCAAACCAATGGTGCACATGGGCTAGCTCCAGTATCCTGAAGGAACAAGCGGTTTATGAACCAATCGTTAGTCACAGGCTACCATGGGACTGCATATCCTTACGATGCTCCACTGCCTTGTGGATTAGATCTTCAGGTCGAAGGCTCGGTGTGTGGCCTCCTAAGTAAACCACCTTGTTCGGTTTGGGCACCCTGGCAGTATCACAGCCCTCACACATATCAAATGAGATCTGTGTGGCGCATATGTATTTGATGCCTCCTTGTACCAATATCTATGTGTTAAAATAAATAAATAAAATAAACTATTGAACCGGCATTCAACGGTTTTAATGTCTAAATTCAATCGATCTATGATGTAATCTTTGTTGGTGAAAAAACAATTAATGGATATTGTTAAATGACTGGAAATTGAATTCGCTGTTGGATCTAGGTTTTGTGATAGCTGGAACTAATGAGTAAGGTGTAAACTTACAATATTGAAAAAGTTCATGATCTTCATGAGATTCAAAACCCTACCAATCATTTTTCAAATCTAAGATGTTACTGTTGAGTTTTTCTAACAGCGAATGATTGACTTATGAGTGGTAACCAATGTTATGTTTTACTAATTCTTAGTTGTGATCAAATTATACCAATGATGTTGTAATATGACTACTGTACTGAGTGACTCAATATTCTCTGCACAACATTTTAACTCTAGATGGTTAAAGATAGTCGGGATGAAACTTTGAACCTTAGTTTTGTATTCATTGGTGTCCATCTATTAGACTAATATTCGTATTACAATTTAATTAATATAATCAGATTAACACTAAAGATCATACAGATATGATAGTGAAGTTGATGACCCCAATAAGACTCAAACATCGCATTTGTCACTTCTAACTTCAACGCGTTATGCATTGATCTACTAAATTTGATTTGTTTATAACCTGTGTTACGGATACAGGTTTTATGGATTGTTAGGTCCTGATAAGCATAATGAATGGTAACTTTGGGAATCAATTTATGGACCAATACTATGAGTATATTTTTATCGTATAATTATTAAGTGACTATACTAATCATATTCGTGTTCCTCTTATTATGATCTTGTTATGCGATTTACCATTCTTGAATTATGCCCTGTCTATTAATCATTACCTCCCTCATTCACAGCCATATTTGGCTGATTATTATACAAATGTTGTTTTATATTTTATGGTACGATGTGATCTGTCTGCTTGGTATATAAACCCAGTATGCTTGAAATGAATGATTCATATTGCAGAGGCTGAGATTGGTGTTCTGGACTTAACTGGCCAGGCTAAGACCAATAAGGACACTAGACTGTTCGCACGGATTTTACGCGTCCTTGGTCTGATCGATAATCCACTGCTCTCTAATTTGGCGGTCATAAGATATAACATGCATACAAGTTTATATTGATGTTAAAGACAGCAGAATAGGATCAAACAAATGTCCTTGGTTACAGCGATATTCACTAAACGACTTAAATAGAAAACATGCAACGATATCACAATACCAAGGCAATTTGCTCTGGATGTAAATATGCCACTAGTGACTAACCAATGTAGTGTGGCGTCGAGTCATGTTTAACTATGATCACCGCTACAAGAAGGTTGCATATCAGAACTCAGATGGTAATTGAAGGTTGTAGCGAGATATATTAGTTGTCAATCTCGTGGTATCGATAAAATATCGAGATCGTTCCAAAAGAGTACAAACGGAACCACTGAGCAAACGTAAGCGCGTGCAAAATCACAATCAACAGAAGGAAGAATGTCTTTAGTGCAGTTAAACAAACAAGTACAATAAAACAATCCCTGATACAATTGGTTATCATAATAATTGTTTCCATTACACTAATCGCGTTCTCTTGAAACAAAAGTAGATCACTACATCAATCTTCAAACTTTATATGATCATTCTTCAACCTCATAAACTTTTCTTCCACACATTTATTCATATAAAAACAATACAAAATTGTTGATGAATTCTATATACCACGAAACCTAGATTAAAGATCTATTCCTGATTGATACCAATTCGCTGGAATGAAACTAGTCAGTTAATTACTTTATGAACTCATCAATTAATTTCATTGAAAAATTTACCTCAAGTATATAATCGCCTGGTAAAAGTCCAGCTTTTTCCGCTTTACTATTTGGTTGAACATTTAAAATCCTTTGACTGGGTAAATTGTATGCAATAAATGATCGTTCTTTGAAATCTATGTAAAAAGAGAAAGACATAATTAGTAGGTACTGCTGATAGATCATAAACTAAAATAAATCAAATGTCTAAACTTCTTTAAGTTCTCGAAAATTCCTCATCTGATTTCAAATTATAATAAGAATTAATGACTTGATCACTATCCAGTGATTAATCAATTGTAAATATATTTCAGCGTCTCTGACTGTGAAGCTAGGTGATACGGGATCAAATCCGTCAGAAAGCATCAGTCCCCTTAAGGTTACAGGTACACCTCACTGAAAAGTGTCAAGTAGCACGAAACCTAGGTTCAGAGTTTCTTGTTGACTACTTCTAACCACCATCTTATCATAACATAGTGCAAAAAATGTCGATTCACCTAGACTAGTGGCCACATTGTAACTTGGTCGATAACATTCGATCTTCATTAAGAATGACCTGACATACATGACATTGATCATTACCCAATGACTAATCAATTGTAAATAAACTTTCACTATATACATATATTAGAATTTATGAGCATCTAATTTATATAATACCAAGTGCAAGGGTCAGTCAGTCAGTAACAACGTGGAACTTCCAAAGTACGTACATCAGTTCGAGTTGCTATACCACATTAGCACAGAGATTCAGTTATCGATTCAAATCCCATAGTAGTAGAGGTAGTGAAAGTATAAGTAGAGATAGGGGACATGAAGGTTTGATGATGTTATTTAAGGAGTATAGTCCAGTGAAATAAATTGGGAAAGAAAATAAAGGACATGAATAATTCAGAAGATTAGAGTTTGAGAGAACACAAAGAGTGGATGCACCCGCGCCATTGCAAACGATTTTGAGCCATGTCATTCAAGGTCTCTAACCATCGGTTGCTATCGTCTCGCGGTCCCCAACCAGGTAGTCTACACCTACCAACAGGACTCAGTCCACTTGTCAGTGACTTCATGGATTTGTGCCATGTTTTGGTCTGGCCGCCCCTAGCTTTCTTCCAACCTACTCCTACACCATAAAACATAGCACGTCGGGGCAGTCGGTGGTTGAGCATACGTAAAGCATGTCCCAGCCATCTCAACTGATTAAGTTTCACTACTTCATCAATTGATTTGCCATCCTTACCTAGTACCCGTTTCATAACAACTGCATTACATACTCGGTGGTCCCAGGATATACGAGCGATGTTTCGAAGACACCTATGGTCAAATACTAGTAACCTACGAATATCCTCTACCCTTACTGGCCATGTTTCACTGCCATAAAGTAGGACGGAACGAACTGCTGTGCAGTAAACACGTCCTTTGGTTGATAGACGGATATCTCGCCTACGCCACAAATGACGCAAGTTGGCAAAAGCTAGTCGAGCCTTTTGTATCCGTGCTGAGATTTCGTCACACACCAAACCACAAGAGCTGATGAGACTTCCGAGATAAGTGAAGCGGTCGACACGCTCAACTACTTCACTCTCTATCACTAGTTCGGGTGTCGACGCAACCCAATCATGAAGCAACATTTTTGCATTTCGAGGGAGAAAATTGCATGCCGAACATGCTTGCATTGTTGCTTAGAGTGGTCAGTAGACTCTGCATTCTGTCAGCGTCTTCACGAAATAGAACTATGTCATCGGCATATTCTAAATCAACAAGTGGATCTCCCGGTAGAAGTTCAACTCCTGGAAATTTAGATGAGGAAAGTGTCATCACTAAAAGGACGTCAACGACAAAGTTAAACAAGAATAGAGAGAGTGGACAGCCCTGACGAACACCACTTGAGGTAATCAATTCTGATGACAGATCACCATAAGCTCTCACTCGACCAGTTGTGTTCGAGTAGAGAGCCTTTATAAGGTTGATGTACTTCTTTGGTACTCCCTTCAGTGACAAACACTGCCATAGAACCTCACGATCAACAGAGTCAAATGCCGCCTTAAGGTCGAGAAATACTACCATTGCGGGGCGTCTGAATGTGTGTCTATGTTCTAGGACCTGACGTAATGTGAATATTTGATCAATACAACCACGTCTAGGTCGAAAACCAACCTGGTTTTCTCTAGTCTGCTCTTCACGAGCTTTGGTTAGACGTCGAAGTATTATTGAAGCTAATATTTTAGACACTATATCAGTCAAACTAATTCCTCTGTGATTGTCACAGGAGGTTTAGTAGATTTCTAGTTCGAGCCTCAGTCCACCTAATTTAATCTGATCAATTAGACTATACTACTAGCACCTCTCTAACACACCCACACAAACACAGAACAACAGTGTCATTTAAAGACATATAACATAAACTTGCATTTGCCTGGTGAATGATATTGGCTATTCATTATGAAGTAAGATTCTGTCCTATGAAACGTCAAAGATTTATAAACATCAAGTCACATAGTGTCCAAGAGTCATTTTACCATTAAAATAGGATACATGACTATATTCAGTAATAATATTTGCTACAGATGAGAAATGAATTGTTAGTAGGTTCATACAATAGGTTAATTGTTCCAAATGCATACTGTTTCGAAGAGTAATTGATTAAAGACTGGACCTCAAAAAGAAATTAAGTTAGAGTCGGTCTTAGTGACCTGAAAGTGTGAACGTAGTACCCAAAGGTCAACTGTTTGAGGTCGGTCACACACAATCATTTTGTAGGAAATTTTCGTGTTGGCTACGTACTTGTTGAGAGCTAACCACCGCGGACGGGAATCTGTTGGATAAAGTGAGGTGTATAATTTAAGGGGTCGACCTTTTATAACACCACTCTTTTTTGTGGGAATGCAGCATCGCTATCATACTGGCTGTGAGAGGGGAATACCTTACTGCCGTCACACCTCTGTACAGCCAGAAGTGCGACTTTGCCTTCGGACTTTGAGTTTACTGCTTTTAGTATTACCACTCTCTGACCTATCTGGAATAGTAGAACCTTTACGAACGACTGTTCTAGCCAGTATAGCTCGATTGGCTCATCACGATAGATAAGCATGACCACCACATCAAGGTAGCTGCAACGGTCTGTGATGTTACATTTATTGTTACGACAATAGACATCTTTATCACATTATTTCAATAAAAAAGAAATTTCAGTCTGTATGTTTAGACTTTAAGGTAGAACACAAAATAATAATGATGATGATGATGATGCATACGGTAGAGGAAATCATCCATATAGCTTCATAATAGTCGGCCTCCAGAGCCATGATATGGTCGGAAAAGCTCTTTCAGCCTCGATCACGTAGTTGCTTGTGTTTGTTGTTTGTTGGTTGTGTGCACTACGGTTGTTAGGTCCATAAAATGTCGTTTATGGATAACGACACGATGCACATAACCAAGTAAATATAAGCATCTGTATACTTTCCAACCATCTGTATATATTATAGTACCCGGTTGTAGCCAGTGTTACTAGAGCTTTTTTTATCCAATCATAGTTTGCCACAGTCCCAATCTGGATCGAGCGAAAAAAATCCTATTTTAATAGACTTCTTCCTCCAACACATATTACATCCAAAAGACAACATCATTATGGTAGCCTGAACAAGGTCTACATGTCATTCGATTACCACAATCACAAATAAAAGAACTTTTTAGTAGTCCCATTTGTTGTAGCCTCTCAATGATCACATTTTCTCTAAAATTCTCTGTGAATCGATCGTACGTATACATCAGGTACTGAAACAACCGGTGTGACATTGAAACCTCTCAAACGCTACGGATTGGTTCGTCCATAAATTATAGTCTTGCCTATATTTTTAAAAGATTTTTAGTATGAAATTAAAAACAAACAAACAAACAAATCAACATTGTATTACTTACTATCTGATCCTTGCATAATAAAACCATAACCAGTTATTCCACGTTCCAAAATAATTGAACGTATACGATAGTTTGGATAACGTTGTCTAAAATATTACAAACCATAAGTAACTATATATTAACAATACAAATTGGGAAACAATTAACACAGTAAACTAACAATTTACTTCGTGTGAAATCATCATGACAGTTACTATATTTCATACTATTTGATCGATTAGAGTAAAGAATTCTTAGGGTATTATCATGAATTGTTGTCTTGTATCCATGGGACTTAGGAAAGCACCGAACTGCGTCACAAGACAAGCCCTCATATGGAACCCTCAAGGTCGAAGGAAGAGAGGAAGACCAAAGAATACATTACGCCGAGAAATGGAGATAGATATGAGAAAAATGAACAAGAATTGGATGGAACTTGAAAAGAAGGCCCAGGACAGAGTGGGTTGGAGAATGCTGGTCGGTGGCCTATGCTCCATTGGGAGTAACAGGCGTAAGTAAGTAAGTAATCCATGGGACTTGTAAATGTTTTAGTAAATAAATAGTGAATGATTAATATTCATCATTATTCTTGAATAAGTATCCATTAGTATATTCGTTAAAAATATGGTTTTAGTGTTTCAGTAGATCAAATACATCACTTTGTCAGTAATGATGGATTCGAACTAATATAGTTTGTAATTTTTTTTTTATCAGTTTCATCTTATTAGTCAAATCATCACGAATTCATAAAGCTCGTTTGGCTTTTGTTAACTAACATCATCTATAGGAAAGATGAGATATCCGTCTATCAATTAAAGAACAAGTATACTGCATGACAGTTTATTCTGTTCTAATTTATGGATGCGAAACATGATCATTAAGAGTAGAAGTATTTGATCACAGATGTTTTCGGAATATTGCTTGCATCTGCTGGGATCACCGGGTAAGTAATAGTGAGGTTAGATGCAGGGTATTAGGAAATGATGGTAAATCAGTTGATGAGGTTGTGAATCTTCAATGACTGAGATGGTTAGACCATGTGTTACGTATGCCTGAACACCGATTACCACGACGCACAATACTAACTAATGTTGGGGATGGTTGGAAGAAAGTTAGGGGCAGCCAAACAAAAATGTGGCATCTGTGCTTGAAGTCACTAACTTCTAGTGTGAGCCATGCCCGTAGATGCAGACTACTTGGTTGGGGTCCGCGTGACTATCTTAACCAATGGTTGGAGACTGTGTGTGACATGGCTCAGAATTGACTACAATGGAGTCGGTGTATACACTCTCCGTCTTCCCTTAAACTAAGAGATTAAAATTGTTTCTTATCTTTCTGCGAAATAATTCTTTCTCTCTGTACTCTATCCTTATATCCAATCTTTCTTCTATATATATTACCACCATTGAATTAACTACTTCTATGAATCCGGTGTTCATCTTGCTATGTAAATGGGATGTGGCAATATGGACGGATGCATATATATGCCTGGTCCTACATTGTTGCTGACTGACTATTACTCTAATGAATTCATGAAACAAGAAAATTCTTATTTAATGTTATTGATAAATGACTGTTTCAATTTTAACATTATTAGCATTAGAAATGAGCTGAAAAGTTCTAATATATTTAGTATTACAAGAGCAATGGAATAATAGATAATGCGATGGCGTTAGAAGTAAACGGTGCTGAGTTCGAGTCCCAGCGTGAACGTCAACTCTGAGATACAAGTACATCCAGCTGACGAGTCTCAAATAGGAAGAAGCGGATTCTACTGGATTCTATTGCTAGCTACTATCTATCTTGACTTACAACTATTCAAATATATAAATTCCAATGAATATGCGATTATGACAAAACTTGAGAAGTATTAGTTTATCATCAATCACTAGTGCTAACAAACAACGAAACTTCTGAAGCTATAATTCCCTACAGTCTCCACATACAAACGTGGGTTCATTTTTGATGGTGTTTTATTCTCTGAGCTGAATAGTTTCGTCATGGAGCTTTCATCGTTCTTCTGAACAACATCATCAGCAAAAAAAAAAACTTCAGAAAGACTTCATTCCTACCTAAAATTTGCGCTGATGATCTTATTCAAAAGAATGATGAAAGCTCCATGATCTAACCATCCAACTTACACAATAAAATTCCATTGAAATCATCCATCTGACCTACAAATCTTTTCTACTGTCTCAAGAGTTTAGTTTCTTATTCAATGAATCATTTGAAATATAAAAATAGAGAAAAACAAAAATGATAATATTACTACTTATATTATTAATAATAGTAGTAGAATACTACCTTAAGAAATGTAATCTTCGAGAAAATTTGAGAATATCTACAATAAATCAATAAAAAAAGACGATAAAATTTAATCAATAAATGATCAAATTCACCTTTATATTAATAATAATCAATATAATATTGATTGTATCAATTATAAAGCTTTTACTATTCATTCTAATCTAAGACATTAATTAGCATTATTCATATGATATAATCAAGGATCGAATTTAGAGTATTCCTATTCTCTCATTATATGACATTTATAAACTACCACTCTAATTTAATTTCACATAAATATTTATTTACTTACTCCTGTTACTCCCAATGGAGGAGCATAGGACGCCGAAAAGCATTCTACAACGCACTCTCTACTACGGGCCTTCCTTTCTAGTTCTATCCATTTGTTCTTTATTCTCCTTCTCCTTCATTTCTCGGCGTAATGTGTTCTTTGGTCTTCCTCTCCTCCTTTCGCCTTGAGAACACCATGCAAGGGTTTGTCTTGTGTCACAGTTGGGTGCTTTCCTCAATGTGTGTCCTATCTACTTCCATGACATCTTCCTGATTTCTTCCTCCACTGGAATATGGTTTGTTCTCTTCCACAAAAGGTTGTTACTGATAGTGTCTGTCCGACAGATCCGAAGTTTTTTGCGTAGACAACTGTTAATAAACGCTTGTATCTTCTGGATGATGGCTTCCTTAGTTCTTCAAGTTTCCGCTCCATACAATGGTACTGTCTTGACATTTGTATTGAAAATTCTGAATTCGGTGTTGGTTGATAAACTTTTGTTTTGAGTTCCAGATGTTCTTCACTTGTGGATATGCCGCTCTTGCTTTGCCGATCTGTGCCACCATATTTGCATCAGATCCACGTGTTCATCAAAATGCTTTTCAGATATGTAAAGGTTTTTACATCTTGCAAATCTTCTCAGTCAAGTGTGATTCGATTGGTGTATGTTGTGTTATATCGTACAATTTTTGCTTTTCCCTTTGTTTATGTTGAGATCTACTGCTGCTGAGGCTGTTGCTCCTGTATTTGTTTTTACGCGTGCGATTGAAGAGCCATATCATCTGCAAATTCTAGATCGTCCAACTGCATCGTAGCTGTCTACTGTATCCCGTGCTTTCTCCCAGATGTTGATGTCTTCATGATCCATTCGATCACGAGGAGAAATAGAAAGGGTGAGAGAAGCAAGCTTACCTGACACCGGTCTTTCCTTCGTAGCTTAAAGGTAATTTGTTCATTCATAAACATTCGTTACAATGGTAAAGTTACTGTCGAAGTAACCATATCCATGTATCATAGATGAAGTTCATTTATAAATCTAAATAGTAATTATGTGGACACCAAATGTGAAAATATTAGGTATAGATTTTATAAGTAGTCAGTTTATTCTATCAAAAAATATATAACTGGTTTTTCAAAGTTAACAAAACAAAATTTTCAATAGTTGAGATCATGAACCGATTGAAGCTAGACCACCATGAAAAACCTGGAAGCAGCACGATCCTGCCTCACCAGAATCGAACCCAGGATCTACCGGTCTCGCTGACGAACGCCTAATCTCTAGACCATCGAGCTGGTATTCGATGATGTTAATGTCTAGCTTCAAACTTCGTGGTTGTGCACTGCTGAGAAGTCCCTTAATAGAACGAACAAAATAAGATTTCTTTATCGGTTTCTATAATGGTTGAATATTAACCGATGACGTTCGTATTAAAGATTGTGACTTTGATATTGGTTGACAGAAAGTTGTTTTGAGTTCCATATGTTCTTCAACAGTAGGAATGTGGCTCTTGCTTTGCCAATGCTCGCCTTTACGCCTGCATCTGATCCTCCTTGTTCATCGATGATGCTTCCCAGGTATGTGAAGGATTCCACATCTTCCAGAGTTTCGCCATCAAGAATGATTGGATTGCTGTTCTCCGTGTTATATTTGAGGGCCTCGGTTTCCCCCTTGTGTATGTTGAGGCCTACTAATGCAGAGACTGCTGTTACACTGGCTGACTTTATTTGCATTTGTTCGTGTGTATGCGATAGGAGGTCTAGATCATCTGCGAAGTCCAAATCGTCTAATTGGTTCTGAGCTGTCCATTGTATGCCGTGTTTTCCCTCAGATATCGATGCCTTCATAATCCAGTCGACTACCAGAAGAAAGAGGAAAGGAGAGAGTAGACAACCTTGTTTGACTCCTATCCTTACTTGGAATGCATCTGTCAGCTGTACTCCATGCACTACTTTGCACTCACAAAGATAGAACTTAAGGTTATTAAGTCTTATGTTCCGAACATCTCTATGGAAATAAAGATTGTTTACAATAGATTTAAAGCTAACTATCGGTTATATTTATGTTTGATACAAATCACAATATATACATTACATTATTAAAAGTGTAATTTCATATATTATACTACTTACCTTGTGAATTATTATCATTATAAATAGTTCCTTCATAATTATCATTATCATTACTATATGTCATTTGTCGTCGAATAGGTAATGATGGCCTGTTATTATTATTATTATTATTATTATTATTAGTAGTAGTAGTAGTAGTAGTAGTATTAGTAGTAGTATTAGTAGTAGTATTAGTAGTAGCCTCTTTTTTATCCACATTATTACGTCTAACAATATCTGGTGTTCGAAAATCAATTCTATGATGATGTAATACATATTGATTGATTCGTTTTGGTGTAAATTGTCTTAAATCATTCATGTCGAATGATAAACATCTTTGATAAGGAGTTGGAGGTAATTCTCTGTCTACTGACATTGGTTTATTTGGCTTACATGTACTTATTGTGTTACCATTATTATTATTATTATTATTATTATTATTATTATTACTGTTACTATGGTTACTATGATTATTATTATTATTATTATATTGAGGAAAGTGAACACTGTCATACACTGCTCTTGGTCCATGAATTGTTGGTCGTCTATCTTTATTGTATACAGGTTTTTGATCAATTCCCTCTAGATCAATAGACAAATCAGGTTTTAAAAAAAAAAAGAAAAGAAAAAAACAGAAAAAAAAAAGAAATTAGAAACGATAATAAATAGGAGTAGGACATTTGATTATCGTTTTAATACATTAGATTGAATTGAATATAGAAAGAGAATGAAATTTCTAGAAGGGATTTTTGTAGATATTATAGTAATTTCAATAGTTGAGATCATGAGTCAATTGAAGTTAGATCATTATGGAAAACTTAGAAGCACTGAATAGCTGTTTTATTGTACAGTGGGACATCTCAGTGCCAGTGCACATCTATGATATTGCTTCTATGAGACTTGAATCAAGGACTTATCAGTCTTGCATGCTAACGTTTAACCTCTAGACAACTGACCCGGTCAGTATTTAAACGGTGTTAATGTCTAGAGTTTTAGATATTTGTATATAACATTTTTAGGTCGTTCTGAAGTTATACTCATTCAACCAATAGCATACTTGTTAATAAAGTTGGTATTAAAGTACAGATGCTGTTACTTGAATATGTAATCCTTATCAAACTATTGAGAATTTTAAGGGGACTACTCTCTAAATCTTTGATCAAATGGTCTAATCTACAAGACAGTGGAATAACGTTATGAGATACAATCTTATGGTAGCTGGTCATATGCCATTTATTCCCTCAGGATCGTGAAGTCTATGTTCACCACTAGTTTGGAATTATGGGTTTTTTAATTTTCCTACGTGGGTCTTCCATATCCATCAACTCGGTTAGAGCATCAGATATTTGCTTTTCATTCACTCAATTTCGTAAACAACATCCTTACCGCAAGAAGGCAGTGAACAGGACTTTGTTGGCAGTGGCCGTATACTTGAGTCCATGTAAAAGTATTTCGAGAGAGAGAGAGAGAGAGATCACTCTCCCCACCATTGACCGTACTAGTGTATTTCGGGGTGAATATATATTTAGTTTTTTAAATACATTGTTCAAATTTTATGGTTTGAATGGAAGCATACTCTTTATGGATGTAATCGTTGAACACTCAATGTATAGTGAACCTCAGGTACGAAACCTTAATTCATTCGAAATACTTAATTAGTAATAATTACCACTTCTACTCAGCTCAATAGAAGCCATTAACAATGAGTCTTTCTAACATGATTTATATGTATAAGATGAATTCATAATTAGATCATTTTATTCTACTGGAATCTTATTATTTTGACAGAAGTTTGTTCTTTCATCTGGATGGTTTAGTTATGGAGCTTTCATCGTTCTTCTGAACGACATCATCCACAGCATAAACTTCAGGTAGAATTGAAGTGTTCGAATTTCTTCACATGTAGTTCATAGCTTGTTCTGTAGACTTCGATGTTGATTGATTCTTTTTGACCTTAAACCTGTTAATTTTCATTTCATTATTTTAGTTATATCTCCGATTGGTTCAATTTATTGTTCCTATATTTGTCCATAATTTCTCTGATTGGTTAATAAACTGGATTGATTGAAATGTGCTTGTGGATTGACCTGAGTGTCAAGCTACTAAAAATTCTCTGGTGTTTTTAGGATTGCTCCTATCCAGTCAAATATGTGTCCTCAGTTGTCCAAATGCATTGTCCGATGTATATTGGACGACCGCTTCATCTTCACCTGCATGAACATCAATTAACAGTTAAACGCCATGACACTTAAATCAATGCACATGGACAACTGTGTACACATAATCAACTGGAAAAAATATGGACATTTTAGATAGATGTAATTCCAAAAACACCAGTGAATATTTTAAAAGCTTGGCACTCAGATCAATCAATAATCAACAAGCACATTGAAATCGATCCAATTTATCAACCAATAAGAATTAAATCAATGGGAGATACAATCAAAAACGTTTACAATAATCAATCAAGATTGAAGTGTTTTTACAGGACAAGTTGAATACTTTACTTCTACCTGAAGTTTTTACTGATGATATCGTACAGAAAAACAATGTAAGCTCTATAACCAAACCATCCAGCTCAGTGTACAACAATCTATTAAAATCATTCACTTGACCTGAAAAACTACTCGATCATCTCAGGAATCTTATTATTGTTAGTTCATTCACAGTTTCATTTCATTCTTAACTTATGAATACATTATTTGATGATGATGACAATAATAATAATAAGGACTGCGTTTAGAACTATAAAAAGTAATTATGCATTTTGGATAAAGTAAACATTATCATGTTCATCAATTGTCTCAGACTGTATTGTTCCTACATTTCTACATCAATTACTTCTTGTTTCCATTCTTTACTCCTTGATCTTCTTGACTTTCTATTGCCAAATATTCTATTCCTGACTAGCATTTATATACTACTTATATCGATATAAGTAGGACACACACACTCGCCGGGAAATGGAGATAGACATGAGAAAAATGAACAAGAATTGGATGGAACTAGAAATGAAAGCCCAGAACAAAGTGGGTTGGAGAGCGCTTGTCGGTGGCCTATTCACCATTAGGAGTAACAAGCGTAAGTAAAGTAAGTAATCACACATACACACACACTATATAGTCACCATATAAGATTCTTGTAGAATATATTGATTAGATCATTTTATTCTACAGGAATCTTATGATTCTTAGTTCGTTCAAAGTTGAATATCATTTTTACATAATAAAACTGAATATAGTTTACTATCAGAATAGATTTTGTGGATATTCTAATAATTTTAATAGTTGTGAGCATGAGTTCATTAAAACTAGACTGTAGTGAACAAGAACACCAACAGGGGAATAACGAATTACAGTACTGGTTAATAAAATCTAACAACCATATAGTGACTGCTCAATTTGCAAAATGTCTATCAATCGTCTCAAAATGACTCAGACTTCCTTTGTTCTTGCATTTTCGTACAAATTACAATCTGTCTTCATTCTTTACTGTTCGATCCTCTTGTCTCTCTGTTGCCAGATATTCAGTTCACGACTAACATCATATACTACTTATGTCTACATAAGTAGCGCGCACACACACACACACACAAGACAACCATTGAAAACCTCGTTACATTAGACAGTTGTTTCATCCTATAAATAGAACTCCCAAACGCTACGCATCAATAATCATGCCTGGCGAAATGTTGAACCCCCCCCAAAAAAAAACCCTACTGATCTCGCACTCGAGCACTTAACCGATACTTCTAAGTTTTTCTTATCCATAAGATATTACCTAGAATTTGCATAAAATTCATACATTTCAGTAATATTACTTATTTATAAACAACTTACGAATTTGATTTTCATCAAAATTTTGTAAAATATGCGCTAAATTCATACGTTCAATAAGTATAGCTAATTCATATGGAGTTTGTCCAGATAAATTAATTATAGTTGGTGATGCACCATAACGTAATAATATATTTAAACAATCTATTTCATCAGCTAATACACATAAATGTAATGGTGTATTATGATTTTCAACTTGAGCATTTAAATCAGCTCCATATATAATTAATTGTTTTAATGTTTTACTACGACCATTTAAACAAGCCTTTTAAGTAATATAAATAAAAAAAAATAATAAAAATTTAATGAATAAGATGAATAGAATTGAAAATCTAAATACATTTCAGTAGTATAATATATATTAATTAATTAATTAATTAATTACGCCTGTTACTCTTCATGAAGGAGCATAAGCCGTTCACCAGCAATCTCCATCAAACCCTGCCATCAGCAATCTTTTCTAGTTCTTTCCAGTTGTTATTCATCCTTTTTATATCTGCTTCTAATTCCCGACCTAATGTGTACGTTGACCTTCCTCATTTCCGCTTGCCTTCAAGATTCCAAGTTAGAGCTTACCTTTAATGCAGTTTGATGATTTGCATAATGTATCTCCGATCCCTTTCCATCATCTTTCCCTAATTTCCTATTCAGTTGGGAGCTGGTTTATTCTCTCCTATAGTAGGCTGTTGCTGATGGTATTCGGCCAATGGATGTTGAGTATCTTGCGTAGAAAACTATTCACAAATACTTGCACCTTCTTGATGATGGTTGTAGTAGTTCTCCAATTTTTAGCTCCATATAGTACAACTGTCTTGACGTTCGTATTGAAGATTGTGACTTTGATATTGGTTGACAGAAAGTTGTTTTGAGTTCCATATGTTCTTCAACAATAGGAATGTGGCTCTTGCTTTGTCAATGCTCGCCTTTACGTCTGCATCTGATCCTCCTTGTTTATCGATGATGCTTCCCAGTTATGTGAAGAATTCTACATCCCTTACTGTAGTTCTTCTAGAGTTACTGCCGGTTTCAAACCCATGTAAAGGAGGGAGGTTGAGCATGAGGTTAGCATCTCCAACCCGTAGAAAACTAACTTGCTAAAAAACACGCTAACCAGTATTATATATATATAAAGAAATATTTTAACCAGAGGGAGTTGTTATATCTGTTTTACATTCTGTCCTTATTCAATTCCCTTCCACTCTTTTGCGCATTGTTTTATACTACTTATTAATTTTCAGTAAAAAGTTGTATTCCCAGTAATTTTTATACTTCTGTTTGTCATGTAATATTCTGAACTATTTAAATATACTTATAAGATTTATTGTATTTATCATTAGAATCACTTCATCTCAATCATTATAGCGATTATCTACAGTTTTGTGCATTTGTTTAAATGCAATGGCTTTCATATTGTTTGCTTGTTGATAAACTGTTACCAGTTATCATATGTTTTTTGTACTATCGAAGCCCAATTTATTTCATACAAAAGGATGCGTTAAATACCATGGACACCTCATAAGTTGAGAACCGCAATTGTAGACAAATCGTTGTTTTGCGATCTTCTGTTTTGCATGTATCTCAATTGGGTGACTCGGAAGCTTCGATAGACCTAATATGTGGTTTTGTCGATATTATAAAAGTTTTAATAGTTGAATTTATGAGTGAATGATGGGCGGTGTCGCAACTTCATGAATTGATTGGAAGTTAAACATTAACATCGTTGGATGCCTTGCATAAGCAAGTGACTGTCAACATTCTGTCTCTAAGTGGATAATGAAATGACGTTTGAAGCGAATGGTACTGAGTTCAAGTTTCGGAGTGAATAACAACTCTGAGATACAACTGAAGAGCCTGAAATATAACGAAACGTGCTTCTTGGATCCCACTGCTACACACTATCCATCTTTGCCTATAATGATCATTAGGTTTATTTGAAATAACAGTTTCGTTTAAGAAATTTGATTTTTTTTCAGTAAAATACATATACATTAGTGTAGAGATAATGAATTTCACGAATAATTTACGAATAAAAGAAAAGATATAGAACTACTCAATCAACGCAATTATTTATGCATTACATTAATGAATTAGTTAGAGAAATATTATTAGAACAGATTTTGATGGAGTTTTGTTCTCTGCGTTGAATGATTTCATCGTGGAGCTTTCATCATCTTCTTCTGAACAACATCATCATCAGAACAAACTTCCAGTAGAACAAATACAGATATTGTGGTAGATTTAAAACTAAATGAGATATATTTGTATTCAATACTAGTTAAACATATGCATTGAATTGGTTGAAGTTATCTATTGTAATGTAAATGTTATGAAAGCTTACAGTTAAAGTCTTGTAGTTTACTAGATTTTTTAGATATGTCCGTATAAGACAGATAATAACAAATCTGTTTATTAAATTCATTTAAACTTCAATATTACTCATCTGGTACAATGTTTTATGGTAGATAAATGATTCAATTGTAAAGTTTCAAATATATATTTAGAGCTGTTAAGTTAATCATAAAACGTCAACATCTGAAAGGAAGCATAGAATACAGTGAACATCTAGGATGCAGTTGGATAATCTAGACTTCGTAGATGATCTGTCTCTTCTATCGCAAACGCAACAACAAATGCAGAAGAAGACGAACAGTATAACAGCAACTTCAGCAGCAATAGGTCTCAATATACACAAATGGAAAATCAAGATTCTCCGGTGCAACACAGCATACACTAATCCAATCACAATTGACGGAGAAGATTTGGAAGATGTACAAACCTTCACATATTTGGGCAGTATCATCGATAAACTCGGTGGATCTGATGCAGATATGAAGGCGAGGATCGGCAAAGCAAGAGCTGCATATTTACAACTGAAGAACATCCGGAACCCAAAACACTTGGCAACCAACACCAAAGTCAGAATTTTCAATACAAATGTGAAGACAGTTCTACTGTATGGGGCCGAAACCTGGAAAACTACGGAAGCCATTGTCCAGAAGATACAAGTGTTAATTAACAGCTGTCTACGCAAGGAACTTCGGATCCATTGGTCAGACACTATTAGCAACAACCTACTATGGGAGAGAACAAACCATATTCCAGTGGAGGAAGAAATCAGGAAGAATCGCTAGAAGTGGATAGGACACACATTGAGGAAAGCACCGAACTGCATCACAAGAGAAGCCTTCACATGGAATCCTCAAGGTCGAAGGAGGAGAGGAAGACCAAAGAGCACATTACGCCGGGAAATGGAGATAGACATGGGAAAAATGAACAAGAATTGAATGGAACTAAAAAAGAGGACTCAGGAGATTCTTATTTGAATCCAGAAAAATAATCAATACTGTAATCCAGGTACAGTTAACGGATGAATTCGTATTAGAATTTTAGTAATCCGTGATCTGATTTCAATTAGATCATATGTTGATCGCTATTGAATGATTGCTATCGAAATATCTATGTCGTCTATCCTCGTGTATAATTATTGACTTAACTTGCATTAGTGAATACGAGAAAGGATTTCGATTACGTATATTTTGTACAATCATTGATCTAGGCAGACGATCAAAGAAACAAGGCGAAATGAAATGATACGTGGTGGAGAAGGCATGTAAGCTAACTCCATTTAACAAAGCGTTGATCAATATGTATAGCCAGATAAAAATAAGTTACAGATATATGGTGGGTAAGATAGGAAGTGCACACACACACACACACAAAGTTAAGGTTGATAAGTGTATAATTAACAAAGTAAAAACGTGACTCAAGAAGAATGGATAAATTGACCTATCTAGAAACTAGAATAAGGTATATGAGCTTAACATAGCAATAGACACAACAGAATTAAGCACATCTCTTGAATTCCTAGCAAGTTTTGTCACCGTAAACATCAGTTCGTTGATATATTGAATCCTTCATTTAGACTTACCTTATTTATTTATTATATTTCTTTAAACACATAAATATTGGTACAAGGAAGCACCAAACAGATATGAGCCAAATAAATCATTCGATTTGTGTGAGGGCTGAGATATTGCCCTCATGCTCAAACCGAAGCAGGTGGTTTTCTTAGGAGGGTACACCTGAAGCCTTTGATCTAAAGGTCTGATCCACAAGATAATGGACAAAACGTCAGGAGATACAGTCCCATGGTAATCGGTCACTAACAATTGGTTCATACACCATTCTTCCCCTCATGTGCACCACTGGTTTGAAATCAGGGTTTTCCAACTCCCCTAGGTGGGGTGGATCCTCCATATTCACCAACCTGGTTAAATCTCCAGACATTCTCTTTTCGTCCTCTCCATTTCATAAACAACACCTTTGGTGTGAGAAAGCAGTGAGTAGGACTTCCCTGTCAGTGGTTATATGTACTTGGCCATGTGAGAGCAGTTCGAGAAGGAGAGCTGACTCTTCTCACTGTTAGCCGTATCAGGGCATTTGGAAGCTAAACCTATTTGTTCAACGATTATGAAGTTATTAGTATGTTAAGTATAAACTTAGTGATGTTCGAAGCAATACATATAAGTTTCGAGTTTCACTACTGATTCAGATACATTCAATTGGAAAATTTCAAACAAAATAAAACATAATTCCTAGGCTATTTCAACCTTTAATAATAAAAATGAGATCATCTGAATCTTTCAAATTTACATCATGAACTTACTTGATGAATTTCTTGTCTACCTTTATCATCAGTTACACCAAGTATAGCATGATCAAATAATAAACGTTGTATACATTCTGGTTGAATATCTTCTGAACAAGCATAATATAATGGTGTTAAATCATTTTTATCACGTACATTAGGATTTTGTCCCAATTCTAAAAATACCTTCATTATGAATGAATAAGAAAAAAAACGTTTTTTTTGATTAGTTGAAATGTCAAACTATTCGTTATTGTTATAATCTGTAGGCTTTATGGCCCTATTAGTATATTATGTGACGATACCGTCAATTAGAGAACTGTGATTTATGGACCGGATCAATCACATGTAAAACTAGTGAGAGCAATCTAAAGTCTTTACTGATCTTGCTTCCAGCTTAATCCTGCCTGTTCGAGTTCAGAACATAAATCTCAGCCTCTGTCATATGAATCATGTGGGTTGGAGAATGCTGGTATGGTGGCCAATCCTCCTTCATTGGAAGTAACAGGCAATAATGTATCATCAATCGAAAGCGAAATGCTTGGTAGCAAAAGGTTAAGAAGATCGAAGGAAAAACGAACGAAAGCAAAGAGTGATTGGTATGGAAACGAATGAACAATCATGTCTAAAACTATTGATTAACATTTTGCAAATGAAGTATTTACTGTATGATTTTAAGATTTTACTAAGACATCCCGTAATTTTGTGCTCAAATACATTTGTGTTCTCATTTTGCTGTTCGTGCTTTTCCAATCTCAGCAGCTGAAATACAATCTACCTCCAGGAACGATTCCATCATTAAGAGAGCGATGAAATACGTCACCAATGGCTCGTCGTGAAGTGGACTAGATAGTAACTTGAAGCAGCTTTCCACCGTCAGCACTCATTATGTGTCGTAAATGAATGCTTCATGTTTGGAGTTTGGGGTTTCCTCGAGTTGGCTCGAATCCCATCCCCGTTGCTAGGTTTGAAGCAGTTACTAGTTCATTTAGTATGCGAACGAGACAAAGACTTGTGACCGAAAACCAATAAGCTAGATATTCTGATGCGTCCCAGCCACACTAACTAGAGCAAGAAGTCCAAGCTTGGAATGGGGAAGTATATTCTGCAAACTGCCAGAAACGAGTGATAACAACAAACACAAATCAAAACGCATGGATATAGAGTGCAAAACCATCCTTTAGGAGAGTTATCAAATAGCATACTAAAAAACGCAACGGACCAATAGCATTTATGATATTTCCCAAGTGGGAAATGTGACATGAAGTTGACAAGAGCCCTTTTGGAGCAAAAACAAAGAAATTCAAATTTTCTAGATAAAATTTCAAAATTAGGTCCTTTTCCAAATGAGTTCTGAGGATCTAACGTTCTTAACACATTCCTTACAATGTTGATTTATCATATTCTTTTTTTATTTTATTTTAACACATAGATATGGGTACAAGGAAGCACCAAATACATATGCACCGCACAGATCTCATTTGACATGTGTGAGGGCTGTGATGCTACCCGGGTGCCCAAACCAAAGCAGGTGGTTTTGTTAGGGGGCCACACCCCGAGCCTTCGACCTGAACGTCTGATCCACAAGGCAGTGGAGCATCGTAAGGAGATGCAGTCCCATGATAGCCGATGACTAACGATTGATTCATACGCCATTTGTTCCTTCAAAATACTGGAGCCCATGTGCACCATTGGTTTGGGATCCGGTTAAAGCGCCAGACATTCGCTTATCGTCCTCTCATTTTCGTAAATAACACCAGTGTCACGAGAATTTAGTGAGTAGAACTTCCGTGGCAGTGGCTAAATACGCGTAGTCATGTGAGAGTATTTGGAGAGGGAGAGCGAACTCTCCCCACTGTCAGCCATATCAGGGGAATGTAAAAAAACAAAGAAATAATAATCATTATAATTTACCTCAATTGCTTTTAAATTTCCATTAATTGCAGCTCTATGTAATGCTGTCATTGTATCGGAATCACGATAATCTAAATGTGCTCCAGCATTAACAAGTTGTAAAATCATTTCACGTGGATCAATTAATTCTGCTGCACAACCTAATGGTATTACTGAAAATAATTAAATAAAATCATAATTATTTATAAGAAATAGTTTGATTAAAGTTACTCAAATCCCTCACCCCCACACCCTAGCCCAACTCCTTAACCCCACCCCATAACCCGCATTTATATAGTTACTCGTATCCCTCAACCTCACCCCCACACCCTACCCCCACTCCTTATCCCCACCCTATAACCCGCAATTATATAAGGATATGTGAACAATACAATTTATTATGATTATTTCCCTTTTAATTATCAATTGATGAAATCATCAATCAGAACATGAACTTAATTGATCTTGGCTCTGTGTAAACCTAATGACGTGTTAACCAACACGAGAAATCTCTGAGTCCATATTGATTTTTATTGCTTTGAGTCTAGAATATAATCTCAGCTTCTACTGTATGAACCATTTATCTGTTCATTTAATAAGTGAATTTTTATAGAAGATTTCATTTGAGATTAGATGATAACTGTAAATGATTGAAATATAACTGTTAAGTAGAAATCTTATGTAAGAGGTTATATACCTGTATATGTATAGAATTAAGCATTTTCTTGTTAGTTTAATGAGTGAATATTGAAAACAATAGCAAATGGATTTAAATTTATCCTCTTGTACAAGTAAGTGGCTATCAGAACTTAGTAGCTAAGTGGATAACGTGATGGTATTTGAAGTGAATGGTACTGTATTCAAGTCTCAGAGTGAACATCAACTTGGAGATGCAGGTACATTCAGGTGACGAAACTCGCGTAAAACTGGATTCCGCTCATAGTCACTATCTTACCTAATTTTTATATTTTTGGTCAACTGGAATGTTTGAATATGTTTCATTGAACTGTTCATAACAGAAAGATATTAAAACTAATTATGTTCTTTAGCTTATACAATTAACTCCGCCTAGAGTCTCTTCGGGGGCTACTGCCATTCCAAAGCCCGGATAAAGATGGAGGGTTGGGCATGGGGTTAGCGACCCTATTTTCGTAGAAAACTAACTCTCTAAAAAACGTTAACCAGCTTATACAATTACTGTGAATACTATTGATTGGCAAATTTAGATACGATTAACAAATGATGCATACACTTGAATGAACAATATGGAGTCCCAATTGGTACTTTTCACTACGTATTAGAGTCCAGAACAGCAATCTTAGCCTCCACAATATGAATCAGATATTTTAAACATATTGGATTTATATACAAATCGAACAGAACACATTACACCATAAAATAGTAAACAACGTTTGTACAAGTTCTAGTCAGAAGTGACTGTGAATATGGGCGATAGTAATTGACAGACAGAGGATAATTCAAGAATGCTAAATTGTATCATAATAGTTCATAAGTCAAAATAAAGCTCATAATAAGATAAACATGAATATGTATAGTTTAGTTACTGAATAATTAGACAACAAGAATATATGTATAGTATTAGATCATACATAGATACCAATAGTTACCATTCATAATTGTTGTTAGGACATCTTTAGATACTTGAAACATCGAGTAAAAATTACCCGCCCCCCACACTAATTGTCATATTTATTCAATAAATGAATGAACGAATAAATAAAATGCTTGAAAATTCTAGTTACTATATAATTACTAATCATTGGAAAAACTAATGGATAAACCCATATAATTCCCACTTAAGTGTTTCACACACATTCAAGAAATGAATGGAAAACTGATCGAACATTGTTCGTAGCGATACATTTTCTTAGACATTGAAAACTTTGAAGGGAATAACTGAATATGAAACTTATTTTAACTTTACAAGTCAACTCATTACACACCAAAATAACTAGCATTGTGTAATAGACAGAAATGAATAGTTCTACTATAATGAACACGAACACAAAGGAGATGATCGAATGTATTGTACTACAAATTACAGAATTAGTTAGTAAAATCTAACAACTATATTGTAAATGCTCAATTTGCAAATGAGTCAGAATTCCTTTATTCTTGCATTTTCATACAAATTACATTTTGTCTTCATTATTTACTGTTCGATCTTCTCGTCTCTCTGTTGCCAGACATTCTGTTCACGACTCACGTCATATACTACTTATGTCTACATAAGTAGCACACACCACACTCGTCCCCCCTTTAAAGCAGTCGTTCTTGCAGTGGTTCATGCTCGCCGTGCAACATTCTTCTTTCCCGCAGTCTGTGCTACGCCCTCCGTCAAAATGTCGAGTCTGCGGCGCAATGACCTCCATAGCTCCGTCGACCTGCCGAGGGACCAACATCCGACCTCCACCGGCACTTCGGACATCTGACACCCGTGCTCCACTGTCCTGCTGAGCCATCTACACTCGATGCCCGCCAAGCAGCCGCACGTCCCAAAGCTCCTCTCCGTTGCGTCGGCAGCAACCGCTACAGCCAACGCCACCCCGCCAGAACACTCCACAAGACGCCACCTCTCCGCACCAGACTGCCCCAAACCGCACCTCCGCTCCAGGCCCGCAACGGTGTCTGCAGAACAGCACCCTTCTTCTCTCCCGGTTGGCAGCTACACCAAATGTAGTGAACACGAGCACAAAGGGGGACAATCGAATGCACTGTGCAACAAATTACAGAATTAGTTAGTAAAATCTAACAACCATATTGTAAATGATCGATATGCATAATGTCCATGAATTGTTTCAAATGAGTCAGAATTTCTTTGTTCTTGCATTTTCATACAAATTACATTTTGTCTTCATTCTTTATTGTTCGATCTTCTCGTCTCTCTGCCACCAGACATTCTGTTCACGACTCACGTCATATAATACTTATGTCTATTTAAGTAGCACACACTACACTACTACTTCAATTCGTTTGTGGAACATTATGAATGACGTGATATTTCAGCAAAATAAACACTTAACACTAAATGTAATCTTTATGATATGTGTACAAATAAGACATCAAATAAAACACTCTTAAGAGATAATATGACATAGGATATGTAAGTATTTAAAGGTCTACTGAATATGATCTATATTAGTAGTAAGTAAATCGGAATGTTTAGCCATTTCATTGGTTTCATCATTCCTTTTTTTATGGATATTTAAAACTAGACTAGTAAAGTACATCTTTATGTTCAATGAAATAGTTCTGTCACATATACAAGATTATCCAAGAAATTGCATTTGAATCATTCTATGAAACATTCAATGTTCATTATGCACAACATCCAAACTGATCAGTTCCAAAATATAAAGACAAAAAAAAACATGATGATATTGTATTCCACATAGAACAAAAGAAGAGTGAACATTTAAATCCACATAATTAAAAGTATATATTACCTCCACTAGATGGATACTGAAAATTTGGATCTAAACCTTGTTCCAATAAATCTGTCACACGTCCGATATCATTACGTTTTATAGCAGATAATAAGCGTTTTTGATGATGCTTTAATAGAAAATAAAACATGGGATAGATAGATAGATAGATGTGTGGATAGATAGATAGATAGATAGATAGATAGATAGATAGATAGATAGATAGATGTGTGGATAGATAGATAGATAGATGTGTGGATAGATAGATAGATAGATAGATAGATAGATAGATAGATAAATAGATAAATAGATAGATAGATAGATAGATAGATAGATAGATAGATAGATAGATAGATAGATAGATAGATAGATAGATAGATAGATAGATAGATAGATAGATAGAAAGACAGATAGATATCAGTATAGGGGTTATGAAAATTGTTTAGTTTTTAATTGAGATCATGAAACGAATGATGTTAGACCACCGTTGGAAACTTCGAAGTACTGGATGGCCTTTTCATCCTCCTGTGGGACTCGTCAGCAGTGAAGTTGACACTAACATCACTGGATGTCGGATCAGTGTTCCAGTAGGTTAAGCGTTCGTGCACGAGACTAAAGGCCCTGGGTTCGTATAACGCGAGCGGGATCGTGGACGCGAGCTGCCACGAAGTCCCACAATGGAACGAAACGGCCGTTCAGTGCTTCCAAGTTTCCAACGGTGGTCTAACAATAATCGGTTCATAATCTTAATCAAAAAGATAGATGATTAGTTAAATGTTTATATGCCATTAAACAAATAATTGAACATTATAAACTCTTAAGTATTATTAAATCCAATCAACTTGAAACTGGTTTTTCAATTGCTCATGTGCCAAGATTTATAGTTTACATTATTTAAGATTAACTTTTATCTAAGTATAAAATTCATTATTAACTAGTTGATCCTGAAGTTGGTCAGAGTAAAGGGAGTGGACGAACATATTTCTTTTGGATGCAAAAATCTGCCTTTTGATTTAATAGCATTTGCTTCAGCCGTCTACAGGAGTCTCAGTCTGATGGAATTAAGCATACTGCTGATAACAGGATATATCATTGCAAAAGATTTCTCCATGTGAGCTACTTATATCCACATAAGTAGTATACAACGATAGTCAGTAATAGTATGTATTTCTGTCAAAGATCGTAAAGAAAAGAACTGGAACGGACAGTAATTGATATGCAAATGATAAACTTTCCTAGTTTAAATTGGTTACAGTAAGTCGGACGCTTACTCAGTAACTTAGAGGTTATGAGTAATCGCGAAACCAAATCTCCTGGATTCGATCCTCTGTGATAGGGTTATGGATGAGTACTATAGTGAAATCCTATACTAAGAAGTAATATCTATTCAGTAGTTCCTGGTTTTCAGTGATGGTCTAATCAAGATCAGTCTATAATTTAAACTATTAAAATTTATTGATTGAGATCATCAACCGATTGATGACCATTTCGTCCTATTGTGAGATTCCTCTGTAGCAGTGCACATCCACGATCCCGCATCGCAGGAGTCGAACCCAGAGCCTTCGGTCTTGCGTACAAACGTTTAACCTCTAAACCACTGAGCCAGTTGGCATCCATCTTTCAATAAATTAAGGTTGACAAATAAAAACATGTTTAAATCTAATGTCATCCGTTCATTATTACTCATTAAATGAATTTACTTTTGAATGAATTCGTTTAGTTGTTGATTTGGATCCTTCTAGACGATATTCTTCAACAAAACGAATTTTTGGTAGAAGCTATTCATAAAAGAAATATCAAAATATACATTAATTTATCATTAAATAATTTAAAAAAATTAAATTGAAGATAACTGTAGGTTGAAGTCTTAAAGTGAATATCAACTTTGAAATGAAAATACATTCAGCTGACAAGTCTCAAAGTGGAACAAGACATACATCCTAGATTCCACTGTTGGTCACTATGCATCTTTACATATATTGAATTTCAATATTCTCAAAGAACATAATGTCATTAATATTTTTCTTCCAGTTCTTTTTTCAGGTCAATCTGTAATATGAGTCGTTTGAGTTTTTATCAAGTTAGTTTTTTGAAGAAGTGCTTGGTTTGAATAGGACACACATTGAAGAAAGCACTTAACTGAGTGAAAAGGTAAGTCATCACTTGAAATCCTCAACTCTAAAAAAGGAGAGGAAGATCAAAGTACTGTAGACAGATATGACAAGAATGATTAACAATTGGATAGAACTAGAAAGAATAGCCCAATAAAGAGTGGGTTGTAGAATGCTGGTCGGCAGTCTATACACCTCCATTGGGAGTAACAGGTGTAATTAAGGAAGTTAGTAAGTAGGTTTTGAATTTTATGTAGTTAGTATATTGATGAATTTTCAATCATCAAAACTGAAGTCTGAAGTTTCATAATGAACGATATCAGACAGGGTATATATATATATACTACTGTTAATATAAGTAGTAGTATTCATTATTAACTGATGAATTCAATGTTTAGCTATAAATATGGTTTAATGATAGTACATGAATAATTACAGTAAATTATACAATTGATTTTAACATAGTAGGATATTTATAAATGGGAGATCCTGAATTGTTGTTCTATTCAAGTTGATTACTTGTTATAAAGAAATGATACTATAAAATAAACATTATTATGTAACATTACATAAAGTGATGCAAGATACTCAACATCCATTAGCTGGATACCATCAGTAATAGCCAACTGTGGGACAGAACAAACCAGCTTCCAGTTAAAGAAGAAATTAGGATAACACGTTCCAAGTGGATAGAACATACATTACAGAAATCCACGCCCTAACTTGGAATCCTTAAGGGAAGCGGAAAAGACGAAGGTGAAAGAACACATTACGTCACGAAATAGAAGAAGATATGAGAAGGATGAATAACAACTGGAAAGAACTGGAAACGATTGTCTAGGACAGGGTTGGATGAAGAATGCTTGTGAACGCCCTATATTCCTCCACAAGGAGTAACAGGCGTAAGTAAGTAAGTAAAAGCATAAAATGAGAAATAAAATTTTTATGTAAAGTTATACAATTAAAAAAGAACAAAATTATTTATTGGATATAGACACAAACATTTAATTAGTAAATATTCAATTAAACTCTGCCTGGAGCCCCTCTGGGGCCACTTTCAGTCCCAATCCCGGACAAAGGAGGTGGTGTATGTTACTTATGTTGATCGATATAAGTAGTATGTCATAGCAATCGAAAGTGAACTACCTTCTAGTAGATGATTAAGAAGATTGAATTGAAGAGAATAGAAAAAAAGAAATAGAGTAATTGTAAGAATAATAAAATTGAAATAATCATGAGTTATGTTAAAGGATAAATGAAGGGAGGTATGCAACTAATGTATTCAATGTATGATTTTCATAATATAAGTAAACACTCCAGATATTCTATCCCATACACAAGAAAAAATGCGGATGAAGATAACTAGTATAGTAGAAGCCTCTGCATCCGTAATCCGTAACATACAAAGAAAAAAGCATGATCCTGAAATACAACAGAGAGAACACCAATTCAATCACACTTGATGGAGAAGCTCTGGAAGATATGGAATCTTCCAAGTACCTGGAAGGCATCATCGATGAACAAGGAAGATCAGATGCAGAGGTAAAGACGAAGATTTACAAAGCAACTCAAAACAACTTTCAACCAATATCAAAGTCAGAATCTTTAATACAAACATCAAGGCAGTTCTACCATACGAAGCTGAAATTTGTAGAACTACAACAACGATCATCAAGAAGGTTTAAGTGTTTATTAATAGTTGTCTTCGCAAGATATTCAACATCCATTGGCCGGATACCACCCGTAACAGCCTAATATGTAAGAGAATAAACCAGCTTCCAGCTGAAGAGGAAATTAGGAAAAAACGATTGAAATAGATAGGACATACATTACGCAAATTATCAAACTGCATCAAGATGAAAGCACTAACTTGAAATCCTGAAGGGAATAGGAAAAGAGAAAGACTGAACAACACAATACATCGAGTATTGGAAGCAGATATGAAACAGATGTATAGCAACTAGTAAGGATTGCCAAGTATAGAGTTGGATGGAGAATGCTGGTGAGAGGTCTATACTCCTCGACGAGGAGTAACAGGAGTAAGTACGTAAGTAAGTACGTAAGTAAGTAAGTAAGTAAGTAGGTAGGTAGGTAGGTAGGTAAGGAAGTAAGTATATCGATATATATATATATATATATATATATATATATATATAAATTGATTTAATTACCTCTAAAACAACAGGTTCTTTAGATTTTCTATCATTCATTAATCCATTGAATTGATTCTCTTCTATTTCATGTAATAATGAATGATTATCATGATATGAATTTAATTTTGTAGCAACTAATTGTGGATATTCAGATATTGTTCTTTCATCTTGTAAAAATTTGCCTTTTTTTCCACTTTCTGGTGGTAAATATAAACCATAATTAATAAAATCTAATTCTTTTAAATTATATGTTTCTATAGCTTGTTTTCTTAATTCACCAATTAATATATCTGTACGTACTTTGAATATATACTGAAATATAAAAGAAATAGATATATATATATATATATATATGTTACTATGCTGTTGCTATGTAGATGAAATAAGTTTATAGGGAAGCAGATATGGATAATGATCTTATGTTTAATCGGTAGCAACTACTTGAAACTAATCGATCAAACGGTGAGACAATAATTAATAGATAATCTTTGAGCAATGTTCAAATGACTTTAGGAGTGTTCATGGAATAACCAAGATTAAACAAAGGGTTATAAACTGATGTGTTAGGAAATAGAATGATAATTTACAGTTGATGGTTAAGGTTACGAATTAGATTTAGAGATCTTCATCATGAATTGATATTAGCCATAATAAGAAAAGTTTATTTACCCAAATGGATGAATGAATATCGCATCAAAATTAGAGATTTATTATCTTATATCTAATTGGTTCGTTCATAAATTATAGTCTCAGTGATCAAACTTTACGACTAGATTATACTACGACATGATGTGAACTGCTTCAGTAAGTTTTGAAGTACTGTGGTGTGAACTCCTTATATCCACATAAGTAGTATATAACGATAATCAGGAATAGAATGTATTTCTGTCAAAGATCGTAAACGAAAGAACTGGAACGGAAAGCAATTGATATGAAAATGAAGAAACAATGAAATCTGAGACGATGGACTGATATTTATAAGTGAAACAGTCAAGTTTGAGACAATCGCAGATTATAGTGAGATGTTCTGTAATTTCGTGTACAAATACATTCGATTGCACTCATTTGTGTTCTTATCCGCTACAATATCACCTTCTCTGACGTATGCATACAATCAATCACAAAAAATATCACCATCTTTTCACTTATTTATATTTGGGCATTTTGGTTAGAAGATACTTAGTTACCAATATTGACCGATTCGATTGTATCCAATGTGTCATCACATATACATGTGACTGAAGTTTTTTTGTGTAAATAACAATAAGCTGATTCTTTTTAAAAACCTGATTAGTTTGTTTACAGGGATTTGGATCACGTTAAGTTGTTATGTGTTTATAAGTAACATCACTTCAATGCATTCAAAATTTACAATTACTGATTAAATAGACTGTTAATGAAATCCAAAGGTGAGTAAATGAAAAACATTGAAATAATCTATCATTTACATCACGAATTTGCTTTAGTCAAATAATCACTAAAAACCATAAAAAAAAACTTGAATATTGTGTTTTATCCTGTTATGTAACTTTTCAACAATACAAGCACACAGATATTCTGTATGTAACCGAGGAACTTGAGACATTGTAATCAATGCAAAATAATTAGTATATTATCCAATTTCATCTGTAAACATAAACTACATCTGAAACGCTTAACTAATCACCACGTTTATAAAGATTGATAGTATTACTTGGCAATTTAAATATTAAATGTACATTCGATTTAAAAATAAATTAATCAGAAGGGGTTTTGTGGAGATAATAATCAACATATGCTCACTAGTGACTGGCTTCAAGAGGTATATCCTGGAGTTCTAGTGAGAAGTAGTGACCAGTGGAGTTCAACCAGGTCTGTTGTGGGATAGTAACTCACTGAAGACAATGGTGGATGTGTCGCTCAATTTCGTGGATTAGTTGAAGTTAGACATTAACACCGTTGGATGCCGGCTCAGTGGTCTAGTGGTTAAGTGCTCGCGCGCGAAACCAGTAGGTCCTGGGTTCGAATCTCGCAATGGGCGAGGTCGTGGGTGCGCACTGTTGAGGAGTCCCGTAACAGGACGAAACCGCCGTCCAGGTTTTCCATGGTGGTCTAGCTTCAACTGACTCATGGTCTTAATCATTGCAATAAATTAATCGTTTGAAACGAGAAATTATTTTTATTGAAATATATTGCTTACTTATGAGTAGGTTAAAAATGTATATTAAATTTTCTGAGAGCTAACATATACTGCATTATCAGTAATATATTTGTGAACTAAATTTTATACATGAACTAAAAGATAGGTAACTGTATTTATTCCTAGGGTCACTTTATTATTGATTGATTGAACTATGGTTCAATTCGATTGTTTACGTTTAACTAACTAACTAACTAACAAATCGATTAATTAATTACTGATTAACTTCAATAATAATTCAATAAATTTAAATCATAGTTCAGAATATTGTATAATAATGTAAAGAAATAAATCTGTGTATTGAAATTATAAGATCTTATGCCATCTACTTAGTGCTTCTAGTGATAAATCATTCACCACGACCTTTAGTTGGGTTGTGGTTGATCACTGTGAAGAAGTTTATTATGTTTCATGATCCATGGATTTTAATGATAATTTCTCTCACACACACACACACACACACACACACACACACACACACACTGTGATGAATTTTTGATGAATGAAACTTCTGTTGAAATCTGTTAAGAAAAACAATATACTCCGTCAAGTTATATGTAATCTTCTTAACTAAACTAGTACTTATACAACATATTAAAGCTGGGTTGCCGATGATAGGCTGTTCTATGAGTGTTTACGAATTCAATTACTCCTGTGGAGCTAATTATGTAGGCCGTATTCAAGAGGGTTTTATCTTTACTTGCATATGAAGATGTACTAGCATGATTGCATAAAAGAGTCACGAAATCTATCAACAGCGTCATCATTTCACATTTGATAATATAGGGAACATCATATTTAAATAGATGAAACTTGATCTGTTTTGTATGAAGTTTTAAATGATCTACATAAAGAAGCTAAATTACGACTTCTCTACATAGTTGAAGTCATCTGCATCAACTTCAGAAGACTGAAACTTAAGTAACCAAAAGAGGTATAACCAGCCTCTATGGTCTATAACTGGATCATCAAATACCAAAACTGGATATGATAAACCTCTTATCCTCCTTCCAATTCGTTTCATGATTATATCTTTCTTAATAATCTACATATTAATCTTTCCCAATTCACAGAACTTATTGTTACCTCTATAAATAAGGTGGAATTCTCTAACTGTGTACTTTATTCATATGATTTCACTGATTACAACGTGACACTTTATTAAGAATCATTCTAATCTTTGTTAAATGACCTTCCTTTAAAAAGTTTCAGCAAGATTATCAAACGATTTACTTCAAATTCATTTTCTGAGATTTTACAAATACACTCCTTCCACTTTAATATTTCACATCAAATCGGTGCCTAAATACTTTGAAACAAATTGATCCAATTTAAACGAAAGTTCTTAAACAACCTTTCTTGTTTACAAATAACAAAATTTTAGCGTCAGATGCAATTCCTGAAGTTCTAATGAGAAGCCTTGATCAGTGGAGTTCAACCATGTCTGTTACGAAACAGTGACTCACTGAAGATAATGATATATTGGTTAAATATAAACATTATCACTGTTCAATGCCGGCTTAGTGATCTGGAGGTTAACTATTCGCGCATGAAACTGATAAGTCCAGGATTCGAATCCCGAAAGCGGGATCTTGGATGTGCACTGCTGAAGAGTTCCATATTGCGGTGAAGCAGATATACAAGTGAATTCATTTATTGCATTATTATTTGTCACACCTAACTTTACAAGATAGTTTTACAGATTTTAAAAATAAAATCATTGAAAAGGAGACATTTTCATTCGGTTTGTTTAACTATTACAAATTAATTAGAAAACTAACAGATTATGATTTAAGTAATAACAAAAATCATTTAACTGAATTCTGTATGCTGAGTTCTATGCAAGAGATGATGGATCAAACACTACTAAAGAGACTCATTATAAGAATGAAACACCTATCCTGTATTTATTCTTCTTAATAGTTAAATTCATTAGGCCGTAGAAGGTAAACCACCATGAAAAATTTGGAAGCACTGAACGACGTTTTCGTTCTAGTATAAGACATCTCATCAGTGAACATTCATGATCTCATCTCATGAGATGTTGAACTTAGGACCTATTAGTGTCACACATATGAACACTTAACCTCTAGACCACTGAGCCTAGAGGCATCCAACGATGTGAATATCTAACTTCAATCAATCCACAAAATTGTATCACCATCTACCATTGAATATTAGTAACATTTTACACATAGGTTAATCTATAATCAATCTAATCTACATTACAATCTATGCTGTATTGAATAGATTTACATAATATGTAATCATTGACATTTTTTTTTAAAAAAAGTCAATTATTTACGAACACATGATAATATGTACATGTTAAAATAATGGAATGAATAGAGGAATTACATAATATGATAATAACCATGTATTTTAGATAATTATGATAGTTCATAGTAAGTTATTAGGTCCATTATTATTATTATTATTATTATTATTATTAGTAGTAGTTGTAGTAGTAGTAGTGTTAGTAGTAGTAGTAGTAGTAGTAGTGGTAGTAGTAGTAGTAGTGGTAGTATTAGTAGTAGTAGTAGTAGTAGTAGTGGTAGTAATAATAGTAGTAGTAATAGTAGTATTATTAGTGGTAGTTGTAATAGTAGTAGTACTAGTAGTGGTATTGTTAGTAGTAGTAGTAGTAGTAGTAGTAGTAATTGTAGTAGTAGTAGTAGTAGTAGTAGTAGTAGTAGTAGTAGTAGTAGTATAATAGTAGTAGTAATAGTAGTAGTAGTAGTAGTAGTATTAGTAGTAGTAGTAGTAGTAGTAATAGTAGTACTAGTAGTTTAAATAATTATAAATTACTTAGGTTGTTTAGTGTAAATAAATGATTCAATGTATTAATTATACTCTTTTAGAGTTATTCTTTCAATGAGGCCTTGTAATTCATATAAATATTCTGTAATCATATGTCTATCAATAAAAGGACAAGTATACTAAACAACAGTTTGTTCTGTTCTACTCTTACGGATGCGAAATATGGCCATTAAGAGTTGGAGATACTTGTAAGTTACTATTACTGGATTACAGATGTTTTCGGAATATTGCCAGCATCTTCTGGGATCACCCAGTAAGTAATAGTGAGGTTGAACTCAATGCATTAGAGAATGATAGTAAATCAGTTGATGAT